GATGCGGCGCAGACGACTTCCGCAGAAGGGTCGATCGCTAAGCAAGAGAAGGAGAGCCTTTGAGGCGCGGTGAAAGTTCTAAAATTTCGATACCTCAACATATCCCAGGCACGGACTGATCCATCCAGAGATGAAGTAAAAAGGATGTTGCCTCTTTTAGAGTACGCAGAGGCTGTGACAGCAGAGTTGTGTTCCGAGAATGTTGCTATGTGGAAGCCAGACGAAACGTCCCAAACCTTGATCAGTCCGTCATCGGCCCCGGTAATGATGCGGCTGGAGTCTGGAGAATAAGTCAAAGTCGTCATCGTGTCAAGATGTGAAGACTGCTTGAGAATGTTTGACTCAGAAGCATACTCCCAGACAAGTAATTGACCGGTCTTGGACGAACCGAAGGCCAGCCATTCTCCCGTGCTGTTGGTGGCTACTGCCGAGATGGGGGAGGATGCCATTGACAGGCTATGGATGTTTGAAAAGGATGGCGTCTCATACAACGTAAACAGGCCATTGCCGAAGCAGGCGGTGAGTAAATTCGTCGAGGGATGGTAGGAAGCACACTTTAGCTTTGCGTTCTGCATGAAATAGTCCCTCTTTACAATGCGCCATCTCTCATCAGCCGCCTCTATCGACTCGTCGTTTTCGCCTTGTTGACTGGACGCATACTCCCAGCGGAAGAGAGCTCCGTCTTCACTCACTGTGAAAATAGATTCTTGGTCGGCAGAGAACCAGACGCCCCTGACTTGCTGTCTGTGGCCGGAGAGCACAGTCGGTTCAAAACCTTCTTCTGGATCGAGACTCCATATTCGTGCGGTAAGGTCCTTGGATGCACTGAGGAAGAAGCGCGAATCACCCGACCAGCTGAGATGTCTAACTTCGTCAAAATGACCACCATACTCCCGGTGCAAGATGAACGGGGCGAATTCGAGGTCTCCATCCGCATTGCCGCCGGGCGTGGAAGGCGTCTGCCACGCTTGAATCTTTCTTCCCAGTCCCACGACGAAATGACGACCGTCTGGAGAGAATGCCAGAGATGTTACCGGCGATTTAAAGGAGAAATGATAGATTGCAACTCTTCTAGAAAAAATAGACAGTATTGCCCGCCCATCCTCGTCAATCGTGAGGAGAAGGTTCCCATCCGGGGAAAGGTCAAGGTGGGTGATGTTCTTCCGGTGGGCAAAAGGGAAAGTATAACTGGTGTTTCTGGCAAGCGACTTGTTAGAAAAGAGTCGATCTTGACGCCAACGAGGATTCTCACTTTGTTAGATTAAAGACAGTCACGCGGTTGCCCACAGGCGAGAGCAGAGAGTTGCCGTCTGGAGTAAAGACGAGATTGCCTTGACGATAAACAGTACCCAAGAGGTTGGAAAACTGTAACAGTCCGTTAGAGCGGTAGGATTGGCCATGGTGCCCGTGACACGTACCTTGAATTCCGTCTTCATTATTTCATGACTGTGTAGTCCAGGTTGGCGCATGTGTACGGTGCATATTCCCAATTTTCAACTGCGGCTTCAAAAAAAGTCATCGGAGAAACGATTGATTTTCTCCGGAACTAGTAAGTTTAAGGTCAAGCGCACGCCGTGATCTGGGGCAGGCCGCTAGTGAAAATTGGCGTTTCAGGGGCGCGACTGTGCACTTTTCGAAGGGTCAATCGAGGGAAACCCCTAACCACAAACCACCTTGTCATTTTGAGACTGCGGCCTTTCATCCTTCACCTCTTCATCGTTTCTGCATCCAAACTCATTGTCCTCGCCTCTCGTTCGTGGTCTCTCTTTCTTGATTCTTTCTCGTCAGAACCTGCGATCAAGATGGCTCCAGCAACAGCGGAGTCCGCATCGCCCATTGGCATTGCCAATCTGCCCAACCAGCGACACAAGATCGTCGCAAAGAGAGGCGCTGCTTTCACCATCATGGTAGGACTGAATGTCTTCTCAGATTTGTCTGGCGGATGCTAACTATTGTCATTAAGGTGGCTGGCGAGTCGGGCTTGGGCAAGACCACCTTCATCAACACTCTCTTCTCTACAACCATCAAGAACTATCAAGATCACAAGAGACGACATGCTAAGCAAGTTGATAAGACGGTGGAGATCGAAATCACAAAGGCCGAACTGGAGGAGAAGTTCTTCAAAGGTACACTTCGAATACAGCGCATCCATTGAGTATGACCGCGCTGACTTTTGCTAGTCCGTCTCACGGTCATTGACACCCCTGGTTTTGGTGACTATGTCAATAACCGCGACTCCTGGATGCCCATCATCGAATTCCTCGACGACCAGCATGAATCCTACATGTTGCAAGAGCAACAGCCCCGACGACAAGACAAGATTGATCTCCGTGTCCATGCTTGTCTTTACTTCATTCGACCCACCGGCCACACCTTGAAACCCTTGGATATTGAAGTCATGAAGCGGCTATGCACACGCGTCAACTTAATCCCGGTTGTTGCAAAGGCTGACACCCTTTCCCCGGCTGACCTAGCCCGCTTCAAGCATCGCATTCGAGCTGTGATTGAAGCCCAAGGCATCAAGATTTACCAACCCCCGATTGAAGATGATGACGAGGCCGCGGCACAACATGCTCGTGCTCTTATGGCAGCTATGCCATTTGCTGTGATTGGCAGTGAGAAGGATGTCAAGACTTCGGATGGTCGCATTGTCAAGGGCCGACAGTATGCTTGGGGTGTGGCCGAAGTGGAGAATGAAGAGCACTGTGACTTCAAGAAACTCCGGTCGATCCTCATCCGAACCCACATGCTCGACCTCATCCACACCACTGAAGAGAACCATTACGAGGCCTACCGTGCGCAGCAAATGGAAACGAGGAAGTTTGGCGAGGCCAGGCCAAGAAAATTGGACAACCCCAAGTTCAAGGAAGAGGAAGAAGCACTCAGGAAGAGATTTACCGAGCAGGTCAAGGTGGAAGAACAGAGATTCAGGGCATGGGAGCAGAAGTTGATTGGTGAAAGAGACCGCCTGAACAAGGACCTGGAGGCAACTCATGCTGCAATCAAGCAGTTGGAGCAGGAACTGGAACAGATGCAAGGCAGTGCCGTGAGGAGCCATGGTCGCCGCTAGGCGAGAGCGCGAGACTTGAAGAAGCAGGCTTGACCGGGTGGTTGGCTAAGATGGGCCAGAAGCAAGGGTTCTGGCAATTCTTCGCTTCCGGTGCTGTGCTCCGGGATCGTGGGTGTACACAAAGCGTGGAGCTCTTTCTAAGGTTGGCATTGCTACGAAAATACCTTTCTAATGTCAGATGTTTCCTTTCCTGCAAACTTCATCTAATTCTATCTGGATTGGCTGTGCCGCCTTGTGGTCTATCGAGTCTATCCTTGACCCTATGCCTTGCGACGAATTCTATACGGCTGCCTCCTTCAACTGTTGCGTGATATGGCCGTTCACCCCTCTCCCACCCATTGGGTCATGTCCAGTTGTGTTCATCCCATTGCCCTGGCCCTTCTCCTGTGTCCGCCGCGAATCCTCTTCTGCAACAGCTCTGTCGACATCAGCAAAGCCCTCATCAACCTCGACATCATCATCCTCTTCAATTCCCATCCACGCACGCATCTTGTCTCGTTTGAATGCTTCAAAATCCCACTCTTGGGGCTCTAACGTCTCCTCACCTTCAAGCCAGACATATGTTTGTGCATCGACTTCTTCCAGGATCTCGGGGTGCTGCCTCTCTTGTTCGGGGGCCGCCTGGTCTAGTTCCACGTCTTTCAAGAGTTGGACCTTCACCACATCCCTCTTGTACTGACTGCCTTCGAAAATATCTAACCGATAGATATCACCCTGTGTCAGTCCAGTCACCACGCTCCCACGTACCCTAGAACCGGAGTGAGGTATTATGGCAGGGTAATCCGCGTATCGGACTCTATGTCGACGGTAGTCCTGCAGCATGGCTGGACGCACAGTGATGAGGTCTTTCTGCCATGGCTCGGGAGTATGTGTTCCGTGGATGACCCGATGGAGGACGCCGGGCGCCATGAGCGTTCCTTTTGTGCCTTGTTTAGAGGGTGAAGCGAGGAAGGGGAGGGAAAATACCGTAGAAAAAGGCCGTGTAGTCGCCCATTTTTTGGCAAGACCGCAGTGCAGGCGAACAAGAGAGCGCAGTTGTGGAGAACCGAGCGGCCTGGAACTGAACAAGAATATTTATGCTAGGAGATTGAGGGGCAGTTAAAGGACAGCTCTTTTGCTTTAGCTTGCTTACTTTGTACTTTGACTGTACTTCGTTGTCGTGCTGGTCGCCTCTGCTATGAATACCTCCCAATGCAGACGATATCAAACAAAGTTTTGACGAGGAAGGTGCGCCGATATCCGCCAATAAAACGAACTGCGAAGGGGGCAAGAGGGGGACAAGGGGGGCATCTGCCTCTCCCTCTCTCTCTGTCTCACTTTCACTTCTTCTATTGTGTCTTCTTTTGTTGTAATACGCATACCATCTCGCTCGAGTCTTGTTCGTACTTCTGCTCGCCTCTGACCCTCAATTATGATTGTGGCGGCCTGTTCTATGCAGCAGCGGCTTGGTACTAGTCAGTGAGGCTGCATGAGGGCGCCCATAATTGAGAAGCATACCCCTGAAGCCTCAAAGCTTGATAGCGCTTTACCAGGCGCCTCCCTCGTTGAATGCCTATTTCCCCTTTCGAAGTATTGACTCGGCCCGGCTAGCCACAAGATCTAGACCCAATGAAAGATGTCCCTCGACTTGGTCATAATGATGCCGCGAATTTATGAGGCTGGCAGCTCTCCTCTGCCACTGGCGCGAGTTGACCAATTCTTTGTTTTGAAAGGCGCGCCTGCACGAAACCGATAGGACCACCATGACGGTGTTGAAACGCTGAGAGGAGATATGTTGGTGTCTGGCTGGAGCTCTTGCAGTAAGTGCATGTGGAATAAACAGTCGACTCGACCCGTAGAACATCAAGTCAAGCTCTTCTTTCTCTGTGTTTCACGGTAAGCGACTCTGAGATTAAAGCTTCTACTTGGTACCTCAAGTCGAATCAGAAATATGGCTTCAGATCCCGCAATTGTGGCATCATCACATCCCCCCTGCGAATATGACCTTCGAGAACGGAAACCACCTCTTCTACGTCGCATTGTCAACGGCACCTGTGGACCCAACGACCAAACTGGCAATTGTACCGTCAACGTTAATAGCACAGGGTTTGAATCTGATTGCACCGATAGCAAAGCCGAGACATACGACTTCGACCATAAAAACCACGACAACCAACCGTTCTCTGGTAAAGTCTTCTTAAGTCAAATAGAATGGAACACTGTCACACCAAATATATTCAACTTCACAGTTTACCTGAAAACTTCTCAGACCTGTGTGGATCACTACCATGGAGGACGTTGCACGTTCCGCGCCGCGACCCCGTTCAGATTTTGCCTTGCTCTCAACGAGGGCCAAATGCTGTACTAAAAACCTCGCCCAAAAACCCATAGGATGACATCGGGGATTTCAACTGCATCATGCTAGATCCTAAGAGTACGTTTTTAAACGATATGCCCATCTCGTACCTTCCTGGGCGTTCAGAAATCGAGTCACCCACCAACACATTCGGTGGAACTGTGCATTATTTGCTGGCTGTGTATAACGCTGAGTTGGAATGGAAGCGGAACGGCAGTGCCTGGAGTACAAATGCAACTGGACGGCAGGCAGAGACTACCTTTCCGGATACCGCCAAACTTGATTGTGACTATGACCCTTTTACCGAAGGAAGTTATGAGCCCAGCCGATGGGGCGCATTAGGTCCTTATCCTGTCACCAGCCCGAGATTTTGCGAGAATACTCTGTGGAGCATGTTTGATTACAATAACAACTTCACTGCTGTCTAGACGGAGCTACGTGATCGCTTGAAAAATTTGATGTTTTTCCCAGCCTCGATGCAAGACAGGTGCGTGACAAGCGTGATGAGCCTGTTCTGCGGTACCAAATCCTCTATCGGTATTGGGCAGCCTCATTAGTTGCAATGACCACAACCGTTCTGATGATCACGCCAACACTCTGGGGCTTCTGGCTTCTCAAAGGCAAGCCCACTCTGAATCCAGTCGACACCGCAGCTGCCTTCAACATACCTCTTGTGCAGACGGAGAGGCAGGTGCCCGACTCAACATCTCGACTCAGGGAAATCGAACAGAGGCCATTACGCTCAGCAGACGGAAGCATGTCCTGAAGTGGCATACTGGTGGAGTCTTCGTGCTAGAGGCAAAGTGTTGTATTCTTGAGTTATCACATCATGAGCGCACTCCAGTGAATGTCCACTTTGGAACCAATCCTGCAGATCAAGAAAGGCACCTCTATGAGCATCTGGTCTTGTGCTTGTAGGATCGACACCTCTTTCATATGCTAATATCCCAATTCGCTTCCCTTAAATTTTGTTGCGGAGGGATTTCATCTGGATTCCACACGTGAAACAAAGACTCTATGACGACATGCAGTGCTCCAGATGGAATTCACATTTCCCAGTCGCCGGACCAAGATGCACATATTGCCACGCCACTGAGTCTACTCAATGCATAGCTTATTGATGGCAAAGATATCGGGTAGAAAGGTTTCGGCATGTAGCTCTCTACAGCTATATCTCAACTAGCCGGTGCCACACAACACCATATCGTGGGACAGCAGATAGGGGCTCTGTGTCCGGGCTTGTTGGGAAGACCGAGTAGAGTACATCGGAGAGGTTTGGACCTATGGCCCGAGTGATCGGAAATGTCATTACGCTGTGTACTGAGAGAAACCCGCGAAAATCAATGTTCTCACAGCCACTGAGTGAGACTCGACTTGGAGTTCCGATTCCAGCCGATCTAGCATACTAAATGCCATCAACAGGCTCGTTGGATAAGCGGCGAGAAACAACACGAGCGGAAAATGTGCGCGGAAGAATCGCCATCATATGGAACGGGTCGGCGACAATCAGCCCGGTCTGGGTGGGAGAGTCTCTTGGATACCAAGGTAGATAGCGAGGCGGTAGGGTAATCCTTCATCTTGTATTTTCATCCGTAGCCGGAATACCACTTTGACCTTTAGCGCCGTTGCTGGCTCATTTTGACCTTGAATGTGCTGGAAATTAAGGTGGCGTCAGGAGCTTCAGCCTTGTGCTCTTTTTGTCCAGCTTGGCACCCTTGGGTTACTGGGACTTTTGCTGAGAATAAGCAAGACTCCGATTTTATTATTTAGACTGTTCACACTATGTGCATAGAAAAGAATACGAGTCTACCGGTCGGACTTGTCAGAACTGCTGACACTTTCACTCACATCCGCAGGCAGCTCTTTCGCCAACAATCTCCAGATGGAGTAGAAATTTGCTACCGCGGCACTCACCGTTTGCTTCTCATCCGAGAGGTTTGCATGCTCGCAGCTGCTGAGAGCTCGAGGAACTGGTCCTTTTCGTGCGAACCCTTCAATATCGTTCCGAGCGGCAAGGCCTTTCTGCTCAATGGCCGTCACCGCTTACGTTGAGGCAATATGAGGCTGACGAAGATATGCGAATGGGGAAACCATGGTTATGACCTCTGACTGTTCTCATAGACGTCTATCTCCAATTCGCTCGTTAGACATCTTCCGAACCTTCCGCGTTTGATTATAGGATCCTGTATCGACGGCGGACGGAGACCCCTCCACAGTATAGAAGCATGGCAAGCTCTCCAAAGGCTTGGGAGAACACCCACAAAAACCAGCTCGCACCACAACTGCCACAAAGGAAGGGATTAAGACCAAGAACGACACCCGGATATCACTTCAGTCTATAGATAGAGTCACAGAAAGAACACGAACCAGCGCCAGTGATGCAGCTTCCGGTGTCTACTGTCGCAATCCTGGCTTTTCAGGTACTCCAGGTGTCCGCCGCGGCCTTGAATGCTCGTGTATGTATCTTGCAAGCGATCTTCTTGTCATCATGTCCTGCCAACTGAGATTCTAAAATTCTATAGCTCACACCATTGCAAAATGACTGCAATCTCCCAGAGGGGGATCCTCTGGCGGCAGACTGTGCAATAACCGATCCTAACACAATATTGCGCCCCCGTGTAAGTCCCCTGTTCTGCTGTTGATCATGATTTTTTTCCCCGCCGCGCAAAAATACAGCTATAACTTTCCCACCCGTAGTTGACACCGTTACAAAACGACTGCAATCTTCCTGAAGGCGATCCACAGGGAGCAGACTGTACTATCTCCACGGTGCGCCCCCGAGTATGCGACTTTCTTCCCCTCCCAACGAACAAGTCTGGTAGGAACTCACTCGCTAACCCTTCTGAAAGCAAGACGGTGACGTACCTCTCGGTCTGACTTCCATCACTGTCGGCAGCGGGACCACGTCGTCCGGAGGCGCCGTCACTATCTCCGTCCCCTACTCACTCTCCCGCGATCCTACAGGACCACTGACCGGAGGCGGCACCGGGACGTTTGACTCTTCCCCACTCAAGAGCGCGGTGTTAATCCCCAGCGACGTGACCAGTTCGTCGCAGGGCGCGTTCTCGTCCGCACAGTGCACGTTCTATACGGGGAGCGCGGACCTAGGAGACGGGGATGTGTCGTGTGTTGGTACCTCGGTGGGATCGGCTTCGACCGATGACGACGGGACGGAAGTGGTGCTTAATGCACCGGCGACTTGCGTGAGCTGCAGTTACTCGTGAACGGGCGGTGGTTGGTGAGATTTTCATGTGTAGCTTTTCCTGCGAAATTTACCTGTTCGTTCGGCGGCGGCTTTGCTGTTTTCTCCTCGAGTATTTTTGGTGGGTGCGCATGCACTGGGTCACGGGCATCCTGACGAGGGCACGGTGTCCATGGCCAGGGAAGGCCACACGTGAAAGAATCGGTTGGTAAACCAAAAAGATGGTTCGGACGGCGGCAGAAAGAGTGTCGTGGGTCTTACAGGGTGAGGTAAGGTAAGGTGTGGAGATATGGAGAGCAAGAAAGAGAGGGGCCTATGTAGGATAAATAGCGAAAGATGAACACTGATGAAGAAGAGCATACTGATAGAGGCGTGTAAGGGATATCGATCGTTCAATGGTAATAAGCAGAAGACATTGCTAGGTAGGATATCGATGTGAAGAAACAGCGCTGAAACTCATAATCCTCATTCCGGTCGGTATCAGTAGCCAACAGCCCCCCAATAACCATATTGATGAGTTCTTAGGCAAGCTTAGAACAATAACCCACCGAGCAATAACCCTCCGAGCAAACCACCAGCAATGGGTAATCCATAGCCTCCGCCTGGATAAGCACCGTATGGACGATTGTAGGGGTAACCGGGTCGAATAAATCTGGCGTTGGGATCTGCGTACGGTCCGCTTGCGTATGGATTAACGCCATAACCACCTGGTCCATATCCGCCATATCCATAGCCTGGACCCCCAGGAGGCTCAATGTAGACGTTCTTGCCGTCTCTGTCCTTGGCGAAGAATTGAGGTTGACCTGTCATTTGTGCTCGCTGCATTGCTTGTCGCAATTTTATGTGTGCTTCGTAATATTGTCTCTCTTCTTCTGCTCGTTGAGCGCGACTGCGTACACGTTCTTCGTGTGTTGTACCGGTGACTTTGTCCTTTAGCTTTTCGCCGAAGCTCTTCTTTTGGGCGGCCGCTTGTTGTGAGGACGAAGGTCGTGCGGGGAGTTCTGGCGGGAAGTGTTCATCTTCAGAGTGATCTGGGGTATGTGCTGCCTGCTTTCTCATCCTGTCCTCTTCTTCTTGCAGTCTTTCACGCTCTTCGCTACTCAGGCTCTTCAGGACTTCAGGGATATCCAAAGGATGCTCCCAATATGACTTCGGTGGGTCGACGTTGGTATTTACGAAGAACTGGTGGTTCTCCTTGGGATCGTATTGCCTCACCCATCCTTCGGGGAGAGGTCTCTGGAGGTCCTCCATGGAGCGACGGACTTCAGTTGGGATTCCATTTTTTGCCGAGGGCACTTCTAGATGTGATGATTTCTGAGGTTTGGAGGATGCTGTGGTGGATGAGCCTGTGGCCTGGTCATAGCTTGGCGGAGGTTCTGGCGGCGCCGACATGGTGGATGTGATAGTAGGAAACGAAGGTGGAAAGGGATCAGAATCAGAGGAGCGATAGATTTAAATCCTACTCCTTGTTGCCTTCGGAACCGGGAAGATTTGTAGAGAAGTGAGAGCAGTGAGGGAGGTGAGAGGCGCGACAGAAATGCGAATGCTGAGTTGAGGCTCAGACGCTGATACTGACCGAGGTGACGTATATCGTATAGATGGCGCCTGCCCGGAGTAATCGGCACCTGTAGTGCCTTGATGCCCGACCAATCAGAGCTCGTATAGTAGTGCTCAGCCACAGCCATTCCACCAATGATTTACTTGGCCACAAATACTGTGGCGACCACGCTTAACCAGATCAAGCCTCATGTTGCGAGCTCAAATCCAACCTCACCAACGTCGACTCCTGAGATTTGGGACATTTCGTATTGGAGCTGCCATCATCAAACTATCAGAAATGCCTCAGCACCATTTCCTTAGCAGCCTCATACAAATTGCTGCTCCGGCACCTCATCGCCCTTACCACGGTGAAATCACATAACCAAGACCTCAATAAACTTAATACCGATTGCGCACAGAGAAGCAATACCTTCGGTGTCCCGGCCATGGCGTTTTTCACGGGCAATCGAAGACATAAGACATCATTCTGGGGGTGGTAACCCGTATACTTCGTCTCTTCTATTACCTGTAGCAATATAGCACTCATGACTGGAAACATAAGATACCGATCATGCAGGGTCTTCCAAATGGCTGCAAGAAATCTGTATTCAGCCTCCATTCATGCGCTTGCAGCACTGCGGACGATCACCATCGAGGTCTCGGTCCGGAAGATGCGCCTTTCTGCACCGTATATCAAATTCCGGAGTAGTTGCCTGCTGGCGGAACAGTAAACCTTTGAGAAAGCGGAACCGGCACCAGATGGGCTTTGAGAGGGATGCGGCTGAAAGGGTGTGAAGCCAGCTTTACTGACAAAAAAGAGGTTTTCTGCCTCACCTGATATCGATTCACTGTAAGAGCTCTTTTTTTTTACCCTACCAAGCCTACCTCATATCAACCTCACCCTGAATTCAGTCTCTTCAATATTCCCTTCCGTATCCCAGTCTCACGCACACATCAATCCCTTGGACAAGTCCCTTGTTTCATGGTCAACGCCTTGATCTGCCCCTTCGCCCGAAATCCCTAGCCCAGTTCAAAACCTCAAGTCTTCCTCATTACCGCCGAGGAGAGCAGCGTCCTGCTGCTTCTCCGTCAGCGGTTTGTACAGGCGCGATGAGAACTGAGACTGTGAGCTTCATCTTTGAACATGTTTTCCTACCTCCAAAACTGCCTCAAGAACATTACAACGAATTAGGCGCTGATAATCTTCTCAAAGAGATCTCACACGCTGCTCGTGATTTCTCGCATGCCCTTCCTGCACCCAACAATGAACGCCACATCTGGACGCAGTTATCACGCTCATTAGACAAGTGGATTGAGGTCTATGATCGGGGTGTTCCATGCCGCAACATCATCACCACTACTCTTGAAAACATCTGTCAAGATGGTAAGTGCTACCCCGATGGATCATAATGCATGATTCTCTGCTAACCAGCCTTAGGCGTCTTGTTTTTCTACGTCTAGCCTCAGAATGTCGCGATCCTAGTCAGAAACGGACCAAAGGGCGCCGTCTTCGAGTGCTTCGAGGTGCTTGCCAAGACTAATGCGGTCGTGAATGCAAAAGATGCGCTGATTCGACATTTTCCAGCACGAGCGGCCTTCTTGTCGAAAGAGAGACTCGTTGATAAGTCTTTTATTAAGGAACTTGGAAATGCAATTTACATGCTGTCTGTTGAACCATTGAGGATGGCTATGGAAAAAACGAAGAAGGGAGACAACATTGTGGTTGAGGAGCGCCAATCCATCCACCCGAGAGCTGTCAGTGAATGACTCTTCAGCATTTTGGGTGCTTGCGGAAAGGCCGCGTCAAGTGTCGCCATTTGCAAACGTGTTCACGTCGATGTTTGCTGGAAGGATGCCCACTTGCTCTGGAGCCGCTCAGGTGTTTGGCTGTCTGCCCGAGTTGCTCTTCAGATCGCCCTCATCAACGCAGACCTTGAGGGTGTAGGGAATTGACATTACAAAAACTTCATGCTATTCCTTTTGTCTAGGGTAGCGGTTGATATTGCCGCCATCGACTCTAAGCCTGATATTCTTCACGTTCTACGTGTGAAACTAGCCAGACGAAATGCCAAACTGGGATCGTCTACCTTTGGCTTTGTCCAAAACACTGTCGATACGACCTTAAACCTCATAGATGACAGCATTCGACGTCAGTGGCCCGAGACCATCAAGAGAGACACAATTACCGTTCCACCAGTGCCTCTCTACAAAGTATCGGATCAACTGCTGTTGAAGAATAGTCACTCTATTTTGGACAACACTTGGGGCCGCTCTCAGAAAGCCTTTACTTACTCGATCACCCCTTACACTCCTCCATCATCCGCTAGAGTGGTCTTAGCAGAGCGAAAACTGCCGGAAGCTTCAATCTTCACACGCACGGAAGACATACTCTTTTGTCTTGTCGACTTTGAGCTATGGGTTGAGGAGTGCCTCAGCAGTTGGTTAGCTGCCAACATGTCGACCTCATCTGCAAGTTCTTCCCTCGCTGGACTGATGCAGAAATATTATGCTATGGCCAAAAAGAAGTACCAGTCACGTGTAGAACAAATGTCGGTTATGCTTCTCACGCTGTTCGAGTTGTGGGTGGCACTGGACTCCATTGTAAGTACCATACATCCGCTCCTATACGCGTATCCACCGGAATTCTCCGTAGAGTTATTTGAGCCACTTCTTCTCCGTAACAGAACGGAATTGGAGAGACTTTCCAAAATCGAACATCACATCAGATCGCGACAGTCACGGTGCCCTTCGAACAATCCTTCGCTCTCCGCCGACCCGTCACCGGAATACTTTGCTGTTAGATTTTATGACCAATCTTCTGACCTACAAAATTCGCGCACCCGGGTCGAACAAGATGCCCACCAAGCGTGGAGAGCCAAGTTCCAAATGTGGGAACGGAAGAAGAGAGACTTTGACATACTCATGAAACAAGTTGAAGAAATGGAATGTGGCATCTTCACCCCTCGAAGAGTGGACAGGCATGGGAAGCAATATGTCGGAAGGCCCCGGCATGACAAATTTTGCCGCAAATGTGCGAAGGAGAAGAGTGCTAAGAATATTGACATATCGAAGCACGAGTGGCCGCTCCCAGAAGACGAGACAATGTGCAAAGCTGTCATCTTTGAACTCGTCCCTCCCGAGTCGATTGTCTCCTGGAGGGACGCTACATTTTTCTTACTCCACGATATGGGCAGGGACAGAAACATTACCGGGTTGCCTTCTAAGCAGGTATTGCTATCATACGTGCCACTTGAGAAATGCGTCCAGCGCAAAAATAGACGTGTCACTCTCACGTCCTCGGTCAAGCCTGTGATCCAGTTGCACTACCTCTGAGCGTCATTGAATGTTGATCCAGTCTTCGTCAGTAACGGCCTCCATCCGAGAATGAGAGATACCTTGACTGTGGATCTTTGGACTGCAGGACAGACTTCGATTCCTTCGCTGCACCGCTACTGCTATACTAAGCTCATTGCTGGTTCGGATGGAAGTCTCAATGACTATGTCAACTTCACCAGTCATACGCAGAATCGGGTCATCTCACAACAATCAAGATGTCCTTCGGAGATGGGCTCTCATGAATATGTGCTATTTGGATCGTTAAGGTCTGGAGAAAGACTACAACTATTCAATCTTCTTGGAGCCTTTTTGTCCGCTGAAATTGACTTCAACTCACCTGCAACAGCTCTGCTGTTTCGTTACGCTATTTCTCAAGTGGGCACAGCGTGCTTTGCTTCGCCGCTTTATCTACGCGAATCTCAGATTGTATGGGAGGATGAACACTTCAGTAATTCTCTACTAGATGCCCTGGAGAACGCGTTCTTGAAAATCGAAGCCAACTTCAAAGAAGCAGCGGCTGCGGCAATATTGCTTGGGGTGGCTCTTAAGGCTTTGTCATTGTCATCGTTTGCTGAAATTGCGACGCGCTGCACTTGTTCTCCAGATTCGCCAATCCGCTCTAGGTTGGATACGCCAGATGAACAAGCTCTACGCCGATCAAAATAACGCTCATGCTGACAACTCTATTCTCAGAGATCTGTCACATCAGATCTTGACTGTTTGTATTCTTTGTCGCCGCACCTATGGTGTCGATACAGAGGCCCAGCCGTCGATGTTCTCCGACCATGATGCTGTGGCGGACTATGTAGAGGCTTCAGTCCACCTACACACACATCGAAAGTCCCAGTCTGACACAGAAGGTCCCAAGAATGAAACGGAACTTTTGAATGATGCGTGTCTTGGGCGGCGAAACGAGAAGCATCTCCTAGTAGCCCTTCAGCTCAACGAGTCAGCAATCACAGATGGTATCAAGAGATTCTGGGCAACTGCAATGTTCACCGACAAGTGGCAGCTTGTACACCGAGATGATTCTTCCTGGATCTCGAATCGGGCTTCTTCTAAAGTCGTGCACTATAATCTCGTCACGGGTAGCCTCGTCTCTGGTCAGGCAATTTCTCAGCTTCCAACTGAGTACACATCCAGCCCTCTTTCCCACTCTATCTTTGGAGAACTTGACCTCGATGTCTTTGCCGCTGATACTGACGACATGGAGTATGTGTCCAAAGATGATTTTCACGGCCATCGAGTTTATTTTGGCATACGTGGTAATGTCATTCTTATTTGTTCGCAGAGCAACGATGAGACCTTCGAAGCAATCCAGCATGACCATTTCGAGCAGATATTCCACGAGCAATTGTGGAGAATACTACTCCTTGGATGTCTTTGAAGGACGGGAGAGTGGACTTTCGTTCTAGGGAGCGACCTTTCCGCTCAGATGGATCTGACTGGACTCTCATCACTGCTGTCAAGTCAGAGTCCAAGACATGCATGTATGCCAACCAGAAGCAGCTGATAGATACCCACAGTCAAGTTGGCTCGATCATCTGTAACGCCCTACGGCCGATTGAACAGTCATCTCATATCGTGGTCATGTTCTGCCAAACCACAACAATCGAGATTGAGCTCCCCCGCTATAATTTGCACTTTTTCGTCGACTTCAAAGGTCGAATTGTTTGCAAAGAGCTTTCGGCCTTTGTTGATTTTGACCAAGAACTAGGGACTCTGCATGGATTCCAGTCTCGTCTGATTTTGCGGATCATGAGCAAGATTGCAGGATCGAACTTGAGAACACTTCTTATTCCACACGGCGACGTAAAGCATAACAGCAGCACCTCCTCATATATCTGCTCGAGTCCGGTTGGACGATACTAATTCTGTAACTTTTTCTCAATTCCGAGTTGATGTTAGACTTGGACAGTTGGTCAGCCAAGATCTGGAAGCCCATCTTTACGAGGCATACCCGCATGCCATCACCAGCTTTCCAAAATCTGATTATCTGACTGGCAGAACTGGCACTGAGGAGAGCCTGACCGCTTTGTCAGATCATGTCTGTCGCATCTGCCAACTATTTTCCAAATGTGCGCAAGCTATATTGTCTTTGATAGCTCAATTCACTCTAGGGCGGAAATTCTATCCGCCTCATCTCAAGACTATGCAGACTGTCACTTTCGACAATGTTCTCCCTGCTATGGTTCAACGCGACATCTTCTTTGGAACAGTCCATGAAATTATCGCCCACAACATGAAAGCAGATTGGTTGTTTGATGCCAATGTGACTGCCATACCGTACAAGGGAGACTTTGGACTGTTGGATAGATCTCATCACCGAACACGCAAGCTTTTCCCAAGCGAATCTGTGGCATCAATGTCTCACCCTATGAATGACGAGGATTATTGCTCGCGGGATCAAGGGTTGGATTGCAACTTTCGCGCGTCAGCTGACATGGCTGACGTTGTGGAATCCTCGGAACCCGCATTCGGTGTTGATACGTCCTGGAACAGCAAGATACAAACATGGCAAAAAAGTCAGTGGGTTCAACAAGGATTTTACATTCAACTCCTTCTCGAGTCTGTTAGGTCAGGACTTTAAAGACATCTTTCCTCCCCTAATGGGGTTTTGCAGATCGGCCTCTACCTCAAAGGAGAGTCTCATGTTCGTTCTGTCGCTCTTAGCGTTTGAACAGCCCGCCATTGGCGAACAGTTAAGAGCACTCCTCGCGTTCGCGATCTCACCCGCGCTCAGGGATCTGGCGGCTCCCGGACACGATTCCTACGACTTGAGAGACGGGTATACACTCAATCGCAAGGAGATTTTGATGCTCCTTTCTCAATGTGAGCAATCATTTATCCCCAGCGAAACTTCAGAAGTCGATGAAGACGGAATCGCAAAAGAGCAACTACGGTTTCAAAAAGAGCTGGCAGCTCAGCACGAATCAATCCTAGAAGCTTTGCGCGAAGCCTGGCCGTGTGATACCGTTCAGTTGCCGGCGAAGCAAGGCCTGGATCACTACAAAGTTTTAGAGCTAGAAGCGCTTCTGGATGGGATGTTTGCAGTGTGGCACAAGAATTACCTTTTCTTGCAACTCTTGGAAGATTATGATCGGAGGCTGAAAGCTTTCAGCACCAGCAGGACTAGCCCGGATATTTCTGACACTATTGTCGACTTTGAGCACACCACCTGTTTCTCGCCTCAAGATATGCACTTTTCGCTGCTTGACCTCATGGCCATGACGCCAATCACCGTTGTTGACTTCAACGAGAGCAGTCCCACGGGCTTCGACGGCGATCTGTCACAATTGGTGTCTCAACAGGTGATTCCTACACTTCTGGAGTCTAACCAAGTTCGTTCTAGCTGGGAGGATCTAGAAGATATTGTTGAAGAGCTGTCCTGTGATTCTTCCGTAGCTGTCCGCGAGTATGGGCAATTCTTGGGAAACAGTATCGAAACCATGCAGTCCCGATCGGGTCAAGCCCAACCGAAGACGAAGGTGCCTTCGTGCGAGACTCTGACTCAAAAGCTCGAAGAGTCTAGAGGTCACATTGCCTATGTCTTAGCTCGAACATGTACGCTTTTACGACCACGCCTTCCTTCCTGTCAGGGTCTGGTTACCGCTAAAATTTGGCCTCAGGTTTCTGAGTTAGATTTACTCCAGCTCCTCTCAGCCGAGCATCGAAGAAAGTACCTGCTTGTTGGATGCCCGTTCTGCTCCAGTTTGCAAGAGAGATTACAGCCGCTCAGCGCGTGGAAAGATTACAGAAGTTTCTCGACATCGAGGATGCGTTCGCTCTCAACAATGAGTTGATAAATCCTGCGCATTCCACATGGTCGTCTGAGAAGCGGCCTGACTGGCTGCTAATCGAATGCCAGAACAACTTTCTTATTCGTCCAGTCCAGATTCAGGTGGCAAAAGAGTTGCTCAAACCGGAAAATGGGACCGTGTTACTGAGTATGGGCGAGGGAAAGACAAGTGTAATTCCGAACCTAGTGGTAACGGCACTTGCTCAAGGCTCACATCTAGTTCGGGTTATTGTTCTGAAGCCTCTCGCACAGGAAATGCTCCGACTTCTATCACGATCTCTTGCAGGCTTGGCGGGACGAACCCTCTACTATCTGCCATTCTCGAGACAGACTACTCCAACTGCGGAAACACCACGGCGATTAATGAGTCTGTATCAGGAGTGCCGTCAAACCGGAGGAATACTTCTTACTCTACCCGAGTATCTGAACTCGTTTGGTCTTATGGGAATCGACAAGCTGGCAGCGGACACACACCATATTGCTGCTGAACTCATCCGCGTTCAGAAGTGGCTCGATTTCAATGCTAGAGATGTCCTCGATGAATCTGAAGAGTTGTTAAGGCCTGCATACGAGATTGTTTACACGAACGGGGAAGCAAACCTCCTTTCGGGAGCGCCGGACCGCTGGAATGTCTCCTTGGAGATCTTGGATCTAATTCAGAAGAAAGCGAAGGCGCTCTACACCGAGTTCCCAAAGGCCATTGAAGTCGAAATACAAAGACGGGGCTCGTTCCATCACGTTAGAGTGCTTAGTGAAGACGGCACAGCCGCAGTGGCAAATCTAGTTGCCACGGCCATCGTCGATGGGCAGCTTCTAAGCCTTTCTCTCGGTCACTGCAATCCGGATGTTCTTCAGGCCATCGGCTCATTCATCCTCAATGTCGACGTCGAAGACGCGCAATTGGAATTGGTGGCTCAACACTTTCAGAGCTCTGCTAAACTTGATCTGGTCTACGTCGCTAGAGGATTCGTTTCCCACCAGATACTGAGCCACACTCTTCGCAAACGTTGGAAGGTAAATTATGGACAGGATCGGACTCGGGCTTTAAGCGCAGTTCCATATCGCGCAAAAATCAGTTCCATCGCCCAGTGCTGAATTTGCCCAGCCGGATGCATCAATCATCCTGACCGCGCTCTCCTTTTACTACACCGGCATCCTTCGCCCAGATTTGAGGAGATGTCTCCTTATTTTGCTCAGATTGCCAGACCCTACCGATGCTTATGGTAAATGGATGAAACATTCTGGTCTCCCGGGCAAATATCGCAAAGTAAACTCTATCAACCTAGACGATGCTTCTTGTGTTGATACTCTGTATGACCATCTCTGTTACAATAGTGGGTTGATCAATTTCTTCCTCCGACATGTCGTCTACCTTTCAGAAGCAAAACAGTTTCGATACAAATTATCCACCTCGGCTTGGGACTTGTGTAGAAACGCTGGAGTTCTCACGGTGGGCTTCAGCGGAACTTTGTGACAGCAAAATACCAATCGTGCAGAAGGATCTTCCGGAATTAAGACACATCACGGCCTCTACTCTGAGCACGCTGCTACGACACGAAAATCGGCAGTACTTCTGTGCTGCATCACCGTCTGGTCAGCGTCTCGTAACTAAGAAGCTATTGCAACGTATCACTGCAGACGGACCGGTCGACGTCATTATCGATGTCGGAGCTCAAATGCTGGAGGGAAGCAAGGAAATAGCCCATTTATGGTTGCAGATCAGTCCCCAAAAGATGGCAACAATATTCTTTTCGGACAACGATGAGAAGATGGTCTTGAGTCGTGACGGTTCAACCGAACGACTTCCATCATCCATCTTTAAAGACGAGCTGAAAAGCTGTCTGATCTTTCTCGACCAATTTCATACAAGAGGCACAGACTTTCTGCTCCCAGATAACTTTGCCGCCGCTGTTCTTTTGGGACCTGGAATCCTGAAAGATAATCTGGTACAAGCTTGTATGCGGATGAGGAATCTAGCTGTCTCTCAGCGAGTCAGATTCTACGCTCCTCCAGAGGTTGATCAAGCAATTCGAAGTATTACCAAAGATCCATTTGGAAATCTTGACAGCTTACATGTTGTTCGGTGGGCAATTAACGAGTCTTGTCTTGCTCGGAAAAAGCAAGACCCACCGTACATAACTCAAGGTCTACTGCACTCACGGCGGCGACTTGCTGCAGATCGTCACGTTTCTTCCGATGGAAAAATTACGAAGCCCGAGCAGTATCTGGACACTATTCGAGAACAAGAGTGGCGTCCTGTGTCTGAGCTGTACTGTGCGAGCGGACCTCACCGAGCAGAGCTGCCGTTTCAACCGACTTTAGAAGAGTCACAAGACTCTGTGATCCAATATCTGCGTGCAGAATTTGAACGAACTAATGTGGTGGAGTTCGAGAACAGTGGAATCACACAAGAACAAGAGCGAGAAATATTGCATGAAGTTGAAGAAGAGAGGGAGGTGCAACGTCCTCGAGAGGTTTGGCCTGCCGTCCCTCAACACTGTCAGAGACTATTGGACTTCATTCGAAACGGGACACCTCTCACTGGTCCCCTGAGCTTCGTCCGTGCTTCGAGATCCTGGAGCATACCCGCCTCGTGCTTTATTATCATCGAGATTTTCCGGCCCATGTCTTGGTGACCAGAGATTTCATGCGAACCGTCCAGAACAAGGACGATTCCCCTGAAGATGATTTCTTGAGACCAGTACAGTGGGTCGTGAAGACCTCAGAAATAGAACGGCTCATCATCATCAGCCCGCATGAAGCTGACGTGTTTTTTCAATCGATTCGGGAATCAACCTGGGCTACCATGCATATGTATCAAGCTCGTACCTCTCGAGGTGTGGTTTCCTTCGATGCATTGAATATATGCAAGCTTCCAGCGAACACCGCTTCTGGACAAATCACCCCGCAAGCGGTGGCCCTGCTTGGCCCCTTCGCGGGTCAGTTGTACTTCTCTTCCTTCGAGCACTACAAGGAATTTATTGATATGCGGCGGGCAGGCATCGAGTGGACGCATACTCATATGGGACGAGTTCTCAATGGACAGATCTTGCGGAGACAGAATTTCGAAGAAGATGAGGAGGAAAATATAGTACAGGATACGGAAGAGTTGAGTCTTGATGGGGAGGATGAGACAGAAGAGTCGGAGACTGCAGAGTCAGAATAAATTGCGTTGGGTGGTGTAGCGACTATTCGCAGGTTTCAGGCACGAAGACCAGGTTGGTTTCGCTTCTATCCGACTGGTCTAACTCAGATGGTTGGAGGAGTCCATGGATGGAATGCTTGGGTGAGGAAAAGTTTGCTGAGGGACCACAAAGGCCTATGATGGCCATGCTCACGTTGGTAGCTGTGTCCACCATTGCCCTGGAAATATGCCGAAGAAAAGAAAATTATCCAAGACAAAAAAAAAAGAGAAAAAGAAAATCATATGACAATAAAAATATGTTTGAGTAAAAGCCAGTCCTCCCGCTTTCCTTCCATGCCTCTTAGAAAAATCATTATCGATGCGAAGCAGTCCGCAGGCCCACTGGTCTCCGCGGGTCGTTAGAACTAGGGAATCACTAGTGGGGGGTAATTGGCTAGCCAGTTAACTGGGTAGTTAATTTGGTTGAGGAATGCAAGGAAGCTATATACAAAAAATGGCATTTTCTCTTCTTTTCTTGAGAAGTCGAGGATAGAGGTCTAGCACAGCAGTAACGCGCGAGAAGTAAAGTACTTGTCACCATTCTGAATCATTGGATTGTGCGGTGAATTAGCCGTCTATTGCTGTCATAAGTCGACCGTTACGAATGGAGCATCTACTATAAAGAAAAGCAGGCCCTATAATTGAGGCAGAGAATTCATTCCGAAGCGTCTGGCTTCACACATGTGCCATCGCAGCCTTGAACCACGGCCCGTGTCCCCGTCCTCAAGACTCCAGTGAAGAAACATTAAGAGACGTATCGTCCGCCGTCAACATTGAATCCAGCACCACTGTATTAGTGAGGATTAGCTATACCGAGCACCAATCGCTGTTGTCAAGTAAGCACCTACGTAATATAGTTTGCTTCATCCGATGCCAGAAACGCTGTCATATTGGCGATGTCTTCGGGCTCGCACAGCCGGCCGAGAGGTAGGGTCGCTAGCCGTTTGGCTCTTCCCTCTGCGCTGTCAACACCGCCGTACACCCGTGGCGCCCTGTGCAGATTACTTAGTCGGTGCATTTTCAGAACTGTTGCAGTGTTGCTTCACTCACATTGGTGTGTTGCCGAACGAAGGTCTCACAATGTTGAAGCGGATACGATGTTTGGCATATGCTCCGGCGAGACCTTCGGTTGCCTGTCACAACGCTCAGCCGAGAACACCAAGCTTAGTCAGGGAGTGGTAGGTACAGTGTCAAGGGCTCCTTTGCTGGCAGTATACCATATCGTACTTGCTCTTGGTCTCTGTGAGCCGATACTACCAATGTTGATAACATGCCCCCGGATACCTTTCTCGATCCAGAAGGGCACGACGACTTTGACCGTGAGATATAATGGCTTGACATTGACCTGCCAGACTCGATCAAAGTCCTCTTCAGGAACAAGATGTGCGTCGGCGCCCAGGTGGACGTAGCCAGCGCAGTTGACTATGGTGTCTGGGATTGTAGAGAATTTGTGCTGTGCCAACTGAAGAGCCTCACGCCATGTTTGCTCAGACGCAACGCTGGCTGTTAAGTGGGAAAATGTTCCTTGAGGGACCAACGTGGCTGTCTCTTCATTTCCAGCTTGGTTTATGTCGATGCCGAGGACACGTGCTCCTTCAGATGTCGCTTTCTTGACAATCTTCAAAGTTCACCGTGTCAGAAGATTGTGGCCACGGGTTCATATCAAGGCCGTCAACTTACTCCCCTTCCAAACCCGGACCCTGCGCCGGTCACAATAATGACTTTGCCCGCCAGTCTTCCCATCTTGTTCGAATTCTGCGATGAAAAGTGTCAACAACAATAAGCCTCTGGGCAGATACGCTCGTCTTCCACATCAATAGCAAGCAGAAGATTTGTTATATGATGAAATAATCAAATCTTCGAGTGTAAATCGAGGTAACTTCACAAGGTCGGTTCGCTACTTTGATCCCCACACGATCTACTCCATCCGTGCGGGCAGCGCAACTCGGCTACCAGGCCAGCATTGCCGTGTGCCGGCATTCGAACTGTATATTTCCCCGTTTTTTCGGTTATAGATCCTTCTTTCCGAGCCCATGAAGCTGTTGGTGATGCCGGCTTTCGAACCAACGCGGCTGCAATCTAGTTAGTTAGCTTGGACACAGGCAACATGCCTGCTGGTGTGGTTATGAGTAAAAGGTGTGTAGGGGAGAAATCGCAGCAGCAGCTGAGAAGCTGGAAGATATAGCCAAGCGTGGGGTCCCAGCAAAGGCATTCGACAGCAGGATCATCACTACATGCGATGTTTACATCTCAATGCTATGTCTGGCTTTGCCACTGTGTCTGCCTGACTACCCTCGATGTCGGGAATAGCCTCGACTCTGACTTGTTCCCACACAGCTTGGACGCATCTACGTTCACCTTCAGATAACGAGTGACTACACGGCTACTTTTAAGCTTCAATGTCCTGGACATTGGAAAATTGGTAGGCTAGAAACAGAACCGGTCTGGAAAGCCCCGCGGAAATCTCTCAAGAACGTCCACAATGTCTTCTCCCGCCATCCGCGAGCCTTCCAATCATTAGCTTGCTCGGGGTATATGTCTACCACGCCCTCGATAGTGTCGTCGTGTGCTGCAATAAAGAAAACGTTGTCCTGTCCATCGGCTTCTTGTGCATGGGCGATCGTTCTCAAAGCCTCATTGAAATCACTTGTGATCACAGGGTCGAAAAAGGATTGATTGACGTTGCGTCCGCGCGACGTTTGAAGAGACTCGAGAATCTCAACCGTGGCAGTCTGGCGGTCTGCATCCTCTGCACCAATGGAGGCTGCAGCCGATGCAAAGCTCAGATGCTTGGACGGTCGAAGTTCACCGCCGTGATGAGTTAAATCACCCCCAAGAAACACAAAAGTCTCTGGGTTCGATGTGGTGCGTACGAGGCCCCCCAGGTGGCCAACGGCGTGACCAGGTGTGTCGAGCAGGTAGAGTGAGCCATCGCCGAAGTAATCCATGGCTCTCATCTCCCCTACCTGCACAGTCTCTGGGCCGTCGAAGTTGATCTCTCGCAAACGCCTACCACTATTATAGGGATGAGAATTAGCAATTCAGACAGGGGCCTGGTCAATCGCTCTAAAGACCACGGTCTAGCTGATGGCCGGTGGCTAAATCGGGGTGATATACTTACTCGAGATCTTTCTGTCGGATTGGTGATTTCGGACCTGCCGGGTATGCCGGAAGAAATTCTTTGGTGAACCCCGGTCCGACGAGGAGATCAGTAGTGGAAGGGAAATGCTGGATGTCGCCTTGGTGATCCCAATGCCAATGGCTGTCGAAACGGTTAAATCAGTGTATCAAATTCATTGTTGTAGCCAGAGATGTTCCCTAGGCTCATAAGAGAGTGGGCAGTGGATATTTGTTCGCTCACCTCCAAATCACGGCCTCGATATCCTCAAGTTGCAATGGCCGGCCTGCCTCGCCAATAGCGTTGCTATGCTGCAGCAAAACCTCAGCGGTGGTCTTTGGTACGTTGATAACCCAGTGTTTGGACTTCAATCTATCCGAGACAATGGGTGGGAGCGAATAGACGTCCTGGGGAATCCCGAGGTCGAAGAGCACCCTCCTCGTCCTGCCCGAAACCGTCGTCTCGACCAGAAACGACCAACTAGGGACTCTTGGGAACATGTCGAAAGTTGGGAGATGTGGCTTCACCAGATGGTCCGCTGGCATACCCTCGATGGTGCCGGTGGTATCGATGATCCACAACTTCGCTGTGGCTCCATGTGGAACAGGGAAAAGGTGATTTGTTGTACTTGTAGGGCACATTGTCTCAAGTATCGACGAAGATGGTTTCAATCTTCTCTAACGCTTCTGTGTGTGCAACGCAACCAACTTTGGGTTTTCGGGTTCTGTGTTTGAAAACGTGACAAAGAGAACATTTACTTCCGGAGCACGCCATGTTGAAGCCACGAGAGACCACTGTGTGGTCCGGCAATGAGACCCCGTCCCGCACTCAACAGTCGTGAATCACATAGCCGAAATTGGGATTGATAAAGCGGGGTTGATGCTGTCCTGGTCGCTGCTTCCCCCCCTCAATTGACATGTGACGAGGCTGAACTCCACAGTATAAATTTGACCCCAATGCTGTCCCAACGTTACGAACGCTTCACACGAGAGGTACGTATACAACAGGTACAACCTACCTTACTTGAAAGGAGCAGTACTGTACTGGGATAGAGCGAGCGGTGGTGTGATAAGAATCCCATGTCCCCCGCACACGGTATAGGGATATTGATGGCAGATCGAAGCGAGGCCAGGGCGACGGGGGAAGATGTTGTTGGTCTGCAGTTCTTTTGTTTCACAGACAGATAGGCAGTGTAATGGGAGAAGTTTGAAGTGGTGGATAGCGTTATGATTGGCTGGGGCGCCGACCCTAGACTATGGTTCTTCTTATATAGTCCTGGGGGACTATCCTTCATAGAATGAACAATCAACCAAGTTACCAACAGAGAGGACTTCCCCTAGTTGAGTGTGCGTGTTGGGAAGAGGCTATACCCACCGCCGTACGAGTTGATACCCATGGCTAGTAGCCTCGCCCCAGTTCAGCAGATGTACCGAGGAATTCAAGGAAGCAGTCAAGCAGTCTCACAAGATCGTTTACAGCTCGCTCTTTAGTATTTTCCGTTTTTCAGTGTCTGTCTCCGTGCTACCCAGGTATCAGCCCCTTTTGACAGAGTCGCTTTCCCTACCCGCATGAATCAAGACCTTGGGAGTTCATTGTGTGTCAAGTTGCCGAATATAGCTGACCCTATCCACCATTATCCATATTGCATAACGTCCGGCAACATTCTCAAGGTCGGGTCAGTTCCCCCTGGCAGATAATGGGTCTCTGGGACGAAGGGAAGGAGCATATCATTACCGATCTGGTCGTGGCTTTGGAAATCGAATAATGCTGATATATCAGACAGTCCTAACGACCAGGAGGATGGTTGTATGCTGTTCAGATCTAGAATAGGATCAGGCATGGGATCTAAAGGTTCGAATGTGTCAGCGGCGGGGACCGTTTCCGAAGGTTGAGCTTGAGGTAGGCTTGCGGGTGGCTGCGCAGGTGCTTCAACTTCAGTGACTCCATGTTGCGGTGATGATCTCATGGCGGAGAAGGCTGGGTTCTGGTTGAAGGCAGAGTCTGGAAGTGATGCGCAGGTAACAGTGACACAATCTGGGTCAGTCGAAAAGCGTCGCCGCTTCGTTGCAGGCCCTGAATCTGAATGATGTTCGGCGTTGGGCTGTTGGGCAGAGGCCGCCGTTGATGGCGAGACGGGGTATATTGGTGTATTCGGTGGCGTCGGTAAATCACTGAAGTCAATCTCAAGTCGTTCCATCTCATGCTTGACCACACGGCACATCAAATCGGCTGGATTGTAGATCCGAGACATCTCGCGCAGCTGCTCCATCAGCATATATAGATGGTGCAGCCCAGAATTACGTTTTCCTGTCTCTTTGCTGACTTTAATGGTTGACATTAAGGCCAGTAGAGCCGTACCTCCTTGTTGAAGAGAGAAGACTCCCGTCTCGCAAGTGCCAAATCTTTGCCGGTAAGCCGAAAAGCCCTGGGCGATTTTCATTGCCGCGTTCATAGTGACTGATCGAGCTAAGTGTTGGAGCGCGCCGCCATTGCCGCTATCGCTGGCCCCTGTACGGAAGACGTGTGCCTTCTCCATCTCTACTCCTAGTGCGTCCTCGTAGCGTCCATACGGACCATGGAGGTTGAGCTGAGCAACGTGGAATTGTTGACTTGATGAGATGTTAACCAAATCCAAAGCAGTTTTGAAAGAAATGACTTACTGCATTATGAAAAAAGGCGGGTGGCGTCTCTGAGATTTTCCTCCGTCCACGTAAGCCGTGCAGGAAGCATAAAATACCAACTCTTCAACTTTGCATCCAGTGCTGCAACGTCAATCAAACGATCTTCATCGGCAATGCTCCCGAAAGTCAGCCTCGGCTGTGCTAGCGCTTGTATCTTCGAACTGAGCTCTGAAAGCTCAAGCAAGGAGTCCAATATATGTCCGTGAAGATCTCCATTTAAACCTGTTGATTCATCCGTGGGTTTTCGCTGGAACAGTCCGGAGTCGTTCAGGCAAGAGACGCGGTTGGTCAAGCAGGACCTGGAAATATCGGAAATTTTCATGTTAGTTGGCCGTTCCACATATAATGCCCAAGCTTGATCGTATATCAGGCATGAACGGAGTAGATCTTTCCTAAATTTCGTCTCTTCAGAGGACAGCCCAAATCTTGAACAGTCTAGATTGAGTCCGAAATCAAAAGCAAGTCGGCAAGAGGTTGCTATATGCATTCCCGCCACGTCGTCTCTGCCAGACGCACATTCGAGGTCGCTCAAGACCAGCATTGCTTGGATGATTGTGAGACCTCGGGGATCTTCAAGTTCTCGATCCAGGAGGAATTTCGCTTCTCGTTGGAAAACACTGGAACTATCATTGAGCATCACCTGTTGCATCCCTGGCCGGCTCTCGTCCGCAAACCGAAAACCCATAGCCAAACAAACAAGATGGAGGAATACGGAATAATATGTCGACCCCCCACTGCTCTGGTCATTTTGAAATGCTTGCCGATCAATCACACATAACGTGTTATTGTACCTATTCCAGAAAAGGTCCATTATATAGCTCTCCAGGTCGACAGGAATTTCCGCAAGTATTCTGTAGGAGTGCTTGTCCAAATGCGACGGCTTGAGGGTCGCATGGTCATCCGAATTCAGATACCTCTTGTAGCACGTAGAGGGACTGAAGTAGTGGATACGCCCCTTTTCTCTGTCATAAATGAATCGGTCAGGTCCATAGATCAGACTCCATATTGTGCTTTTTCGGTTGGTCAGCTGGTGCGGCTCAGAAGCACTTCGTTGGCGGACCGAATTGTGACTGTTGATTGAATCCAAGCCAGCTGAGTCAGGCCTGAGTACATCTGATGACCGCTGAATAGACTCCAACACGGCATCGACCGAAGCGGGTGAGCTATGTACGCCATCTTGCTCCAAGCTCGTGTGCAGTTCAACGTCTGGGCAAGTGACTGGTTGAAATCGGGGCCGATCGGCCGTTGATCTTATATTCCTTGATGATTCTTTATCTCGCGGAGAGAAATTTCGCTGATGCCGCTGCGTTGGCTGAGACTGAGCAACACTTTGCTGGAATTGAGGAGGTTCATGCCCAGCCTCCCTTAGTCGCTGTTCGAGAATTTGGATGTTTTCGAGTAGTGAGTTTAGGTACACCTTGGACTTTGGTCTTGAACAGTTAATCTGGAGTTCTTACTTGTCAACAAGATGTTGCTGCTATCTACCTTTTGCGATCATCCAACGCCTGGAAGGTGCACTCCATGCCTTTGCTTTGGCAATAGTCACAGGACGATTGTCCGGAGTCCACGATGCACTGGATCATAGCCTGTATTAGTCGTGGGAGAGTTGAATCGTAAGATTTGTCTACCACCAACCTTGGTGCGCCGAATGCGACAGGCGGTACACGCCGCAGAGGCTCGAGATTGCGGATCTGCAGTGCGTGGAGTCATTCTCTAAGGCGTAGCGGTATAAGTACAATTAGTACCAAGTTGGGAACAGTAGAAACAGCGTCTGCGAAGGAAACAACTTTGGAAAGAAGGAAGAGGTGTGGACGGATAGTACAGAAGTGGAAGGGGAAGAGAATCCAGGGTGAGCAGCGTGTGAGGACATTCATCTCCTTGAGATTCCAGACAATGCACAGAATGGAGTTGCGGGGTAGAAGCGAGTTAGTTTCGTTAAACTAATGGTTCCACCTGGAGCTGCGGGCGTGCGACGGAAAGGAAATAGAACCAAGATGCGGGCTTAACTGCGAGGTGGGCCTCTATGCATTTATGCAATTACAAGTAAGCATTGGGGCTTTCGGAACTGTGACCTGCGTAAAAGGGTAATAATCGCGATGCTGACGGGTGAGCGAGCGTGTGGAGTCGAAACTCAGCCTGCAAGGGGCAAGAACAAGGCCGAATCTGGCGCAATCGTCTCGCATATTACTGGCCCTCCCGGTATGTGCGAAGAGAAGGTCCTTGGACGAGCCAAGGGTCTACCTGGTAACATACAGTCTTCAGAGGGGTATTCCAAGCCGTAACGGTAAGCTACGATTTGCGATCACTGGGCGAGGCCAACATGCCTATTGTTATGCTCTCGACAACCGAAAAAGCTCTGCTTCACTCTGTAGGTTATTAAAGAGTAACTTCACTTCTGGTGAAGCACCTGTGAAGCATTCTCTCGAAGTTGGTTGACGTCCATCTTTTGTGCAAGTCTCTGCAGCAGATCAGCCTTACGTTGCAGGAAAAAAAATATGGAGACGCAAGATCAAAGCCTTTCGCATCTGCGAGAGCAGTTTGCATTATACAAACATATCCAGATCTACCATTGGCTTGCAGACACCTGGAATTGGAATGAAATAGCTAAATTGTTCTCGGAGGATACTGAGTACGAGTTTGAAACTGCTGAGAGTGGAGAAAGTTGGGCTGGTTTGTTGAACCCCTTCCAGTCCCATGAATGTGCTGGGCATTGCTGCGACCCCCAAGGCGTGGGAGTATTTCCATTTGCAGCGCAGCTTTTGAAACTCGAGCTCTTCTGTTCGTGATACGGATCGCTGACTTTGGAGCTTTCTATCAGGTGGAGTCCAGCTCCAGAACCAAACCATAAGAGGGCCCGATGCTGTAGTCACGACGTTTGATGGACTGGTGAAGGCATTCAAGAAGGTACAACATGTCATCGTCAACACAAACTTCGACATCAGTGGCGCGACCGCAACTGGAACGGCAAATATTGTGTTTTGGGGTGTTCCAGACCCGACCAAGCCCCATCTCCACTACACTATCGCCCCGCAGGGAGCACTTGGAAGACCGCTTACACCAAAGTGGAAAAGATTTGGGAGCATTCAACGCTTGGTTCATAAGCTGGGGAGCATGAGGGGCTACTTCAGTGTTATGGGACTGGGGTTCCGATCGGAAAACAATGCCCGATAAAGGCCTTCTCAACTGATAATTCCTCCGAGGATATGCTTATGTGTTGTTGGAGGAGCACCCGCTATATCTTCTGAGCCAAGCTGGTTTTCTCGTTATATTATGGTATTGCACACACAATGTGGAGTCCACGGTGCACGGTTTATGAGAAAAATCGCTCCTGTGTGAGTTTTATCGCAAGCTCAACTTCTCCAACGTGTTGCTTGTCTTTATCTATATTTTCTTAACCGCTATTGTACATGTTGAGGCACTTGGGAGTGAATATGAGTATTTTCTCTTCGAGCGGTGGGTTGCACAGTACACATAGAATATTCCACGCATAAATCAGAGCCTGGATTTGATGCTGTCAAACTCGGGAATTTCTTGAGCCATTAGCATTTCCAGCTCGTGAGTGATGACCATACGCAGACTTAGATCGCCCAGACTCGTAGCACCCAGTAACCGCATCGCAGTCTCGATCTCATCATTGAGCACTGTTCGAATAGAGTTAGCAGGGAACTCGACACGCATTGAGGGGTAAGAGGACCCCAGTGCCCGGAGTGGTCTATCGTGAATGGGACTTACTTTCGATTGCTCTGTGCACTCCTTCGGTACCATAGGCACTGAGAGCGTACATGAAAGGTCGACCCAGCCCGACGCCAGCGGCTCCGAGGCAAAGAGCTTTGAGAATGTCTCCTCCTCGACGAATACCGCCATCGAGAAGGACCTGACATTTGCTAAAGACCTCAGGGCAGAGCCGACGGATTTCCATCAAAGCCCCAAGAGCTAATGTCGCGGAATCCAGCTGGCGCCCACCATGGTTGCTCAAGTAAATGGCGTCCATTCCGAAGTCACAAGCAATTTTGGCATCCTCGGCCGTCAAGATCCCTTTCAAGCATATAGGTCCAGCGTTTTGCCATGCGTCTTTGATCCAGTGCAAGTCTTCCCAGTTTAGTGTTGACGAGTGAGGTCCTCGAAGCACTGCTTCGGGGTCTAGATTAGACAGCGCGGCTCTCCATGGGGTTACATAGTGCTGTCTGTTTTTTAGTGCTTCGTGGATTTTGAGCCTATCGTCATCCTCTCTGATACCAACCACGTTCGTGTCCACAGTAATGACAAGTGCCTTGTATCCCAAGGCTCGAGCACGTCGGATATTCTCGAGCGTCTCTTCCTGCGATCTCTTCACGTACAGTTGGAAGAAGAGACATCCCCCTCTCGCCTCCGAAGCCAGGCATTCTGCGAGGGCTTCGTGGGAAACTGATGAAGAGTTGCTTGGACAGTAGGGAATATTAGCCCGAGCTGCTCCTCTTGCCAGACAAAGTTCTCCGTCTGGGTGACCTAGTCTTGCCAATGCGCATGGGGCAATGAAGAATGGCAGACTGCTTTGGAAGCCCAGTATTGTCCGACGAGTGTTGACATTTTGCACGTTCCTCTTGATCCGCGGACGGAAACGTAGTCGCCTCCAATCATCTAGGTTGTGACAAAATGTTATCCTGTCTTGGGCCGCCGAGGAATAATAAACCCATGCGCGTTCGGAGAGAACGTCTTTTGCTGCCAACTCCAGATCATTCAGGTTCAGGCACATCTCAATGGGCATGGGGCCTCGTAGTGCACTACTCGCACCAGTGGTTACTACTTTTTGCTCACTGGTCTTTTTTATTGATCGTTCAACTTTACCGAGATGTCTGTCTTCCCAATTTTAGCACCGAAGTTCTCGGACCTGGGTCGACCATTCTTACCTCGTGGCAGTATTTTTTCGATAGTATTGGGTGGGTGTATCGCATCGTACTCCTCTGTTGCATCCTGCCCATTTATGAGCTGGCTTCGACGTCATATCAAGGCTGCTCTGTTCAACATACCCTGCCTGCATACTGCAGAATCGACGCCGCACCCCCAGGATGCTTGTCGAGGAACGCTGAAAGATCATATACAGATCCATGAATAATTACCCAACAGGACTCTTGGTTATTATGCTTTCGCACCTCCTCGATGCTTAGCATCTTGAATGAATTTCTCTCGAAGTGACCCAAGGGATTTGTCGCAGCCTCGATCAACGGCATCTTTCAAAGTACGTTGTTTGCCAATCACGATACAGCGCCCGAGGCATTCTGTGAGATTAGATTCAAGTGAATTATGCTCGTTCAGCTCTAGCAAGGAAGCGCGTGCCATTTCGAAGGTAGATGATGTACCAAGTTTGGAGTAGTGTGAATTGTGCAAAGCCAGGGTTCACAAAGTGGCCGAGTTGATTGTTCGTTTGATCACGAAGCTCCACAACCTTCTTCACCTGCAGCTAATATCCGTCAAGTTATCATTGGCTTCTATTCCGCATGATTTCCGCCAATATTCCGCCGAGCGTTTGCCATCGGATCTTTTATTCCGCTAGTGACAGCAACCACAGCAGGTCAGACTGCTGCGCTTCCACAAAGCCACCCCATTCAAACGAGATCTTCGACGCGCGAAGGATATAGAGCTATTAGTCTTGTTTCGCACACGGATACGAGGCAGTAAGGCGAATGATCAGCACGAGCTCCAGGCATTGTCCACGGGCACAATTACGCCATTGACATTGCGGGACGCGTCGACCGAGAGAAACACAATCATGTTTGCAATGTCGGCTGTTGAGATGCTTTGGCCGCCATCACGAGAGTGATTCAACTGATGGAAGGGCCTGTTTCTCACAAGTCAACTCTATTGAATCTTCCTAGGGAGTTGCCGTGGTGCCTTAAAACATTGTAATAGCCGGGTAAACGTACGTGAGCGTATCCAAGGACTCTTGGTCGAAATTCTCTTTTTGAATCTTTGATGTTCGTCGGGACTCCTGTGTATGAAAGTCAGAAAGCATCCCTCAGAACAGCGTATTTGCAACGTCAACACCCCCTGGGCAAACCGCATTGGCGCGGATTCCATCGTGGCGGTAACGCCAGGCTGCATGTTTGGTCATTCCGATCTGAGTGATGGCAAACTGTTAGCCTCCTCTTGACGCAATTATTCGACGACGGTCGCCGTGAGACAGCCATTATCGTCTCAAAAACTGACTCCGATAATTGAAAGCTGATGACTATTGATATCACCTACCAGGGCATGTTTGCTAGCGGTATAAGCAAATCCTGCTGCGGCTCCACTCAGGCCAGCCTTGCTAGCGACGTTAATGATTCGACCTGACTTCTGCTCGAGCATACCTCCTTCATTTAACACCGCTCGCATTAGCTTCATTGGCACTGTGGTGTTAACGTTTATAAGCCTATCCCAAGTTGTGTCTTTGGTTTTGTGAACCGCTTCAAAGGCGTCCATAATGCCAGCAACGTTAGCCAAGATATCGATCCTTTTTCCCGTCTTCGACAAACACGCCGCGACCGAGTCATCGCAGGCCCCAGGGGCTGTCAGATCGGCCTTATGGAAATGGAAATTGCCACAGAGAGCTCTGGGGATTGGAGATGGTTCAGGAAAAGATGAGATATCGATGCCGAAGACTGTTGCACCTGCTTCAAGGTAAAGCCTCGTTGTCATCAGGCCGATGCCAGATGCGCAGCCGGTTACAATTGCAAGCTTTCCGTCAAGCTTCCAAGCCATTCTTGTTGCAATTGATTATGGACTCTAGGCTAGAGAGAATGTAGACAATGGCAGGATGAATTTTGACGCCTCACTCGGACTTCGGTGTACGAGTGTTACAGGATTTCGCTTTACCGTAGGGAAAATCTTCTGAGAAAGTGTGTTTGTCCTGCCCAGAGCTTTGGATTGTTGAACAGTTTATATCGTAAGGAATAATCAAATAGTATTCTTATTTACGGCTTGACTAAGAGCAGGGTTCTCAATTTAAGAATACGTATGGTCCTTGGAGACTTAAATGTCACGGGCTCAATTCTAGACACAAAATGGTGATAGCCCCTATCCGTTCACCTCGGGGACATGCTGTCATATCTTTTCCGTTGGAGGAGGCACATCTGACCGACTTCTAGGCTCTTCACATTCCTCCACAACGAGAACATTGTTTACTTCACCAACAATTCAGTTATCAAATTATCCGATATTCCAGTGGTTTGTGGCGTGATAGAAGGTGCTGGGGTGCTTGTATTTGAGTCCTGCTAATAATAGGCGGACTGATCGGAGGCAATTTAGCCCAGTAAAAACACTTGATTCGTTCCCTCTCGGAAACAGAGCGTTATATGTCCAAAGGAGCCTTCTTTCGGTATCGCGGTCCACCCCATAGGTTGCAAACCAACGTAGCTGTGGCTTCGTGGCATCTATGCGGTCATATTTCTTATGGCAACAATCGTGGCTTCAAGGGTGATTTTCTTTCTTGTGACACAACCTGACTCCGTTGACCATGGGGATAAACCTGTTGACTGTGAGCTCTGGGAGCGCGCTGATGGCGCTGGGAAGCCATTTCGCATTCAAACACAAGGAGCCAACAGTACCTCAGTTTTTGGGTTTCATTGCATGCCTCGAACTGACACTGGTGCTTGATGTGGCGAAACAATCAGGAGTTGAAGATCCTGGGATTTGTCAATCTGGTCTCGACTTTCAATCTGTGCTACTTTGTGGTGCTCGGCTCCAGTATTTCTATATACAGGTTATTCTTCCACCCTTTACGGAAATATCCGGGACCTCTTCTCGGAAAACTAAGCCAATTTCACTTCTCTTATATCTGTGGAACGGGAAACAGCCACAGGTATCTCGAGGCCCTACACCGAAAGCACGGAGACATTGTTCGATACGGTCCAAATGAGCTCTCCTTCACTGATCCTGAAGATGTGACCTTTATCCATGGGGCTCAATCCTTCAAACTTCGCAGAGGACCATGGTACGACGGCAACCCTGGAAGAGCAGGTCATAATACTTTAGTTATGGCCAGTACGCGCAATGTGGAGAATCACAAAATGCGTCGAAGAATATGGGATAAAGCATTCACAGTGAACGCTTTGAAGGTCTACGAGTCAAGAATTATTCGGTTGACCGATCGATTGATCAAACATTGTGAATCAAAGAGTGGAAGTATCATTGACGTCAGTGGTGAGATTGATCACTTCTCATTTGACATAATGGGTGACCTGGGTTTTGGAGAGGACTTTGGAATGATTGAGGGCGCGAACAAGGAGTCACTAAAGTGGGCCGGTCTATTACACAGCTATATGCGCATGCTCTCAATCATTCGCCCCGTGCCATGGTTCAAAGAGCTCTACAAATGGCTTCCAATCGATCGAGAACGCAAAAGAAACGGCCTGGAATTTGTTCGATTTACTGCCAAGCGATTTGAAACGCGCTACCAGAGAGGTCAAGAGGCTGGAGGCGATATTTTCGAATATTTGCTGCAGCGTGATCCCAAGTCTGGAATTCAGCTAAATAAATCCCAGGTTGCCGAGGAAGCCATCGTCGTGGTAGTGGGTGGGAGCGACACAAGCAGCATCTGTATGACGTTCGCCTTTTATTATTTGCTGTTGAATCCCGAAAAGTACAAAAAGGCACAAGTCGAGGTGGACTCGCTTTGGGACGGGACGAGTGAGCTTGATGGACAGCAGTTGGTTCCAGCACGGGCCCCGTACCTGAATGCTGTTATAAACGAGTCATTGCGTCTTGCAGAACCCGATCCAAACGGAAACCAGCGCTCGACACCGGGGGGCGGTGCTGTGGTCAATGGAAAGATCATCCCAGAATTCACGCAACTAAGCATCCACAAGTGGACAATGCAGCGAGATGAGAGGAATTTCACCAGGGCGCTGGAGTTCATTCCAGAGAGATGGATTGATGAAGAGCGAGAGAGGCACGGCCTCCACAATCACAATACCAAAGGTTATATTCCTTTCGGTGCTGGAGTATACAGCTGTGTGGGAAAACCATTGGCATTGCTCGAAATGCGTCTGTTCATGGCGCGATTCATGAGAAAACTCGAGCTGGAGCCGGCGCCCAGTTACGATCTCGAGTGGTATCCCTGGGAGGTCACGTCGAGCTTGACTCTTATGAAAACCTCTCTGCCAGTTTTGGTTAGGAAGCGGATTCTATGAGGAGAAAACTAGAGAGATTACAGGTAATCAGAATGAGTTCATATATTTTGTTGTTGAAGTTTGCGCTGCGCGTGAAGTATTTCTGAGCGCAAGGTGTGCGATTTCGTTGTCGATGAGGCACCAGAGAGATCCTGGATCATTTGATATTACTGTTCAATCCTTAGCTACGCCCTGAATTCCGACATAGGATCTCCAATCACAAGTCCAGCTTTCCTGTTTCAAGGAAAGCCTCAAGGAGACCTTTGAGGTAGGGAGAGTCTTCAAAGGATGAAATAGTCCAACATTATGCCTTATGCGAAAGCGTAATATCCTTCACTGTATTCGTTACTGGGCTTGCAGTGTGTTCCGAATTTTTCTGCTCCAATTTTTGCGTATCATTGGTTGGAAGATGTGTATATACTTGCTACGGAGTCATGCCACCGTCGATTGTATAAACTGCACCTGTTATAAATGCGGCTTCGTCGCTCAGCAGGAATGCAATCAAGGCGGCGACTTCTTCTGTCTTCCCTAGCCGATTGATCGGGGCCATGGTTTATCACTACCAGGCATGTTTGCGTCACGAGCTATACCTAGCATCTTAGTGTCGATGCTTCCACTACAGGATTAAATTAGCGGTGATTTTCTCACACAGACAGAATAGGGGTATAGCTCACGGTGCCACTGCATTCACTCTCACACGCCGATGGCCATTCTCCATTGCGGCAGTCCTAGTTAGCACAATGACAGCGTGCTTGCTCGCACCGTATGCCAGTAGGTTAGGTATGCCTATCTTCCCGGCGACGCTGGTGGCGTTGACAATAGATCCTCCATCTTCGATATTTTGTAACTGGGCTCTCTGGCAGGCCATGACCCCTCTGACATTTATCGCCATGACCAGGTCGAAATCTTCGTCCGAGACTTCATGAGCAGCCTTCAATCCGATTTCTTTCCCAACTGTCCCCGCCAGGTTAACCCCTCCAGAAAGCTTGCCGAAGTGCTTTTACGGTAGCTGCAATCCAGTCGTCCACTTTTTTAGAGTCTGTGACATCGACCTTAGTAGTGAGGACATTGATTTTGTGCTTGTCACGAATTCCTCTGGCAGTTTCATTAAGAGCCTTTTCATCCATGTCGGCCAAAGAAAGGCTTGCGCCCCTAGAGGCAAGCAAATCAGCGGTCACTGATCCTATGCCTCCAGCCGCACCAGTGATAGCAATGACTTTTCCTTTCAGAGACGCCATGATTGAGTTCGGTTCTCCGCTGTCGGTGGAATTCTGGCTGGTCGAAAGACCGGAATGAGTGCGAAACTGCACTGACTTGATAGAAGATTTAGAGCTCCAGGAATTGCTTTTCCCAACTCGTAATTCACACTCGCAGAACTCGCTAGACTAAATGTTCCTATTGATGATATAACGGCACTCTTGTCGAAGCTTTGTTACTTTCAGACCATCTGAGTGCACTGACGGATGTCTTTCCACTGCAGCAGCGGGCATTTTGTGTCAATACAAGTAACGCAAATAATCCCCCTAAAGATGTGCAGGGTCTCCAATGCTCATGATAGGCTATGTAGAGCCATCTCTCAATCCGCATCTCTTATCGGCCCTGTTCATTCCGCAAGTGGGTCTTGTGGCATCCACCTTCCGTTCCAAGCTCTACTCAAGAAGGTGTCGATTCTCTAACTCCTGCGGAGAATGAATCGATTGGTGAACCGTCTTTTAAAGTTTTTGACTAACCAAAGACGGCCGTTTTGTCAGGATCCCAACATTGTGCCCAAACTTTGCGAGGAGTCGGGCCGAAGTCTATCTCGTGGCACAAACTTCCTAGGGATAGGTTTGAAGGCAAGCTGTAGAGTTCTTGCAGGCTCTGGGGATTACCATGAACATTGTGAGTACTTTACAAACGACGCTGAATGCGCTCCAGTCTATCGATCGGAGTGAGACTATCTGCACAAGAAAACCCTTCTAACTCTACTTCTCATCCTCAGTATAGTCTGGCTGCTTGTCCTCGCCATCCACGATACCAAGATACCATGTTGGATCTCGTCCATCGAGCTCGCGCACCGTAAATCCATTACCCCAGAAATGGAATCTGTTGGAACTCTCATACTTGGTCTCAAAGTCTTCATACCGTGGCTGCATCGTCTCCACGAAGTGTGCTCTTGACGCCGGGTAAAGACGTGGGAGTCCGTCGATAGAGCCGCCTTTATACCAGCTTCGACATTTTTGATTCCACACAGTCCTCTTCAGAAACAGGTCCGAATGCTCTCGAAACTCGGCGGTGACATCGGCTTTGGGCGCGAGCGAACGTATATGTTCAATTTGGCATTTCTCTATGATTTTGAGCATATATTTGCATCCATGTTCAATGGGAGGAAGGAGCGACCCATTTGTTGCACTGTATGGCCCAATAGAGAGAAAATAGTTTGGGAAGTCCGGTATCATAACAGAAAAGTATGACACAGGATCTTCGGCCCACTCTTGCCGAAGGTCTTTGCCATTCGCAATTACTGGGAACCTTGGAACATAGGATGTATCGAATCCCGTTGCACAGGTAATGACCTCAACTTCGTGTTCATTGCCATCACTGTCGATGAATCCTAATGGGGTAATCTGCTGGACGTCAGTCGTATAAACAGTCACGTTTGGTTCCATCAATGCTTCCAAATACCCATTTCCAGGGGTGGGCCGGCGGCATCCGGGTCCATATGCCGTAGGAATGATTCGTTCGATCAGATCCGGCCGACTTTTCAACTTCTCCTCCATCTGCCTGCGAGAAAATTCCTTAGCCATCTGTGCATCCTTGGTGTTGACAAAGTTGAAGTAGAACCGTTGACCTAGCTCCGCGTCTAGCATTTTGACATAACGAAGCTGTTTGACGGGATCCTCTGAAAATTTCTTCCTAATATCTTCCGCATATTTGAAATTTTGGCCGTTCGGTCCGGCAAACCTGGAGGCAAATCCTGCACTAATCCAAATGGGGGACCGAATCCAAGTGTAAAGCTGCTTGACGATCGGTTGAATGTTGGCAACGATCTGGACACCGGATGAGCCTGCCCCAAAGACGGCCACCTTTTTCCCATCAAGAACGGTAGACTCGTCATAGGCAGCCGAGTGCAGAAGCTTGCCCTTGAAACTATGAAGACCCTTGATGCTCGGCCATTTCCAGTTGTTCAAGAGGCCGCAAGCATTGACGAGAAAGTCGCATTCATCTTTGAAGCTTGTCCCATCAGGTCTCTGAACCTGGATTTCCCATTTCGCAGTTTCGGAGTTCCAACCCGCATGAACGACCTGATGCCGCAATTTGATGTACTTCCACAACCCATGGGCATCCACAACACCTTTGAAGTATTCAAATATTTCACGAGCGTTGGAGTAATAATGGGACCAGTTAGGATTCGTAGCCCACTGGAACTGGTAGATGTGGGACGGGATGTCGCAGCCGCATCCAGGGTACCTGTTCTCCCACCAGGTGCCTGAGACCTCATCGTTTTTCTCATATATTTGCAAGTCGAGGTTCGCTAACGCCTCCGAAAATTTGGCCATGCATATTCCGGTTGGTCCTGCGCCGATCACAATAACGCGCCTGCGCTGAGGTAGTCCATGTGGCTTTTCTAATATCGAGTAGCCTCTATTGTTAACATTCTGCCAGCCGCAAACTTTAGCAGCCTCTTCTGAGTCGGCTCTGGGGTCGTCCGTTGGGAGATTTGGAAGAGGAGCCATTGCCTTGACATAATCTTGACAAGACTCAAGGTTATTGTCAAGCAAGTCTCGTGACATCCCAAATTGCGGTTAGGATCTTTTGAGGAGTTGCAGCTCTTGTAGACACCAAGCGTATATATTGTTAAATGTGTCAGGGTGTGGCCACGGCCGCTCGTCGGGATTATCCTCTCCGTCTATTCTGTTCCATCCGCTAGAGAGAGCAACACCATTGCTTTAGGGTATACAGGCAATCGTCGCCACTGTCTTAGAGTATGGAGATCGACGTCCGATACTGCGGAAAATGTTAACAGGTCTCACCTGACCATGGCAATTCAGAAACCATACTTGACACCTGCAGGTCCCTAATTATTCCGCTGTTTTTTCAATGGCTTTTTGCCACTGCAACTAATCGGAATCGTCTCTGAGGATATCGAAAGGGAACTGTGATTTGAGGGTTTCCGCTTGTCTTATTAGCTAGCATGACCCTGCATGGATGGTTATGAGAAAGAACAACGTGATCTTCACATTTAAAGCCTTCTTGATAGTCTCAAATTCGTTTTCGCTGATGATATCACTACCTGAACCTTATCCTCAATTCTTTTAAGAGTTCACTCAGGATGTCGGTTCAGGAGGCACTGAAGTTTAAGCCTCTTCACCCAACATTCGGTGCTGAAGTAGAGGGTATTGACTTTTCGAAGCCAATACCCGACTCAGTGATCGTGGAAGTTCAGGAGGGTATCGATAAATACGGTTTTCTAGTGTTCCGAAATGCAAACATGGACAACGACACTCATGTTTCGTTCACCCAACGGTTCGGTGAGCTAGATTCAATGCCTTTCATTCGTCGCCGAGGTCGATTCCCAGACCAACCACACATTTTCGATGTATCTAACTTGGACGACTCTGGAGAAATAGTCAAAAACACAGACCGCATAACCGCTATGCTGAAGAAAGGCAATGAGCTGTGGCACGCCGATATGCAGTATCACCCGCGAAGAGATAAATATTCTCTCCTCCGTGCAGTGGAAATTCCTCCTAAAGGCTTGGGTGGCGAGACAGAATTTGCGGACTCCCGCACTGCCTATGAAGACCTCAGTCAAGAATGGAAAGACAGGCTCGAGAGTTTGGTATGCGATTGTTCTCTGATCCACAATCGCCGATTGGCCGCCCCTGATCTTTATAAAGATGTGGATCCATACGACTGGTCTATTTCTCGCTTCAGGGCGGTTTACCCGCACGAGGGGAGCAGACGCAAAAATCTATATGTGACCAGTTACGTCTACAGATTTCAGGGATATTCCATTCAAGAAAGCCACAAGATGAGAGAGAAGCTGATTGCACACGGGACGCAGCCAAAATATGTGTACAAGGTTGCTTGGGGGCAGGCCGGTGATGCGGTCATGTGGAATAACACGGCCGTCTGGCATCGAGCACTAGACGCGTCGGAGTACATCTTCAAGTACCGGAGGGACATGCGCCGCACAAACACATACGACAATGGTCCATATGCTTGGGGGGAGAATGAGGTCGGGAAGGACTGGAAGGTGCAACTGCCAAAGAATCCTCTAGCACATGAAAGCCAGCTCAATCGAGTGGTTGGGTAGATAGTCTAAGCCAATAAACAATTTCCACCGCCTTGTTGGCTGAGTTATGGACAAAAACCCAAAGGCTAGGAGACAAAACTTGGAGGGCTGAGGAATATTCTATCGCAAGATCCTAGACCTCGGGAGGAAACAGTAATCCACTGATTATTGATGTGCTCCCAGCAACCGAGGCCAATTTCACTGCCTTCAAGGTTCGTGTAGGTTAGTTGTATCCATGGAGTTTTTAGCAATTGAACTCACGTGAGAGAAGAAGCAGTTGCTTCTGTGTAATGGAAGAGCATTTTGGGATACAGTTTGCGGAAGGTGGAAGACGGAAAGCGGAAAATAACGGGCGAAGTCCCAACATCCGGGTCACAAACGTTCTTCTTTCCTTTGCGAGGGAGGTTTCTTTTATTCATGTCATAAATCCTTCTAGCACTTATATTTTCAGTCATGTCTTCATTGTTTTCCTAGTAGCGCGTTTGAGCATAGCTTCACATTACTTGAAAAATTCATCTAAATTCAGGATTGCTGAAAAAATATACTCAGAATGGGTCGACTTATTCCTCGCATCACAGCCTATAATTGGGCAATCGTGATGCTGCTTGCTACTGGCCCGATGGCTTGCGGTTATGCAATGTCGTATCTGAGTGGCGCGATCGGACAGCATGGCTTCTATGTGTCCATGGGCTACCCTGACGACCCCAGTGACCCCGGTTATAAGCGCACGTCACATTTCCTCAGTGCGGCCTCCGGGACTTTCATCGGAGGTGCCTCAGTAGGGGCTGTTATGGCTGCTTGGGCCGCAGATGCGTTGGGCCGAAAACTCAGCCTGCCACTGACTACACTGGTCTATATGGTCGGTGGATCTCTCCAAAGTGGTGCTGTCAACCCGTCCATATTTCTCGCGGCGCGGTTCTTGTCTGGCGTTGGCATGGGCTCGCTGCTTGCAGTAGCGCCGATGTATCAAGCTGAAGTCTCACCTCCAGAATCACGCGGATTTATCTTCGACGCCGCCGAATTTTGTTGTTAGAAGGTTTTTGTCGAGGATCTCTTGTTTTCGTACCATAATCTCGTTGACATCCCACTATGGATGCCGTTAGATTCGAATTTCAGTACACAGAATCAGGGCAGTGAGACGCAAAGTCTTACGTTGGCAGTAGTATATCTTCCGCTCATAAACTCAGCCTCATCGCTGGCAGCCCAGTTGATTATGCCTTCAGCAAGTTCATTGGTGTCCACAGCGTAGAAACGGTATATATCCTCGAGTATATCTGTAACAAAAATACCTGGATGAACAGCAATGGCTTGCACTTGGATCTCTTCGTTGCTCTCAGCATGGGCGTACGCGGCCAACTGGTTGATGATAAGCTTGGAGAAAGAGTAGGCGGACTGACCGGGATTGACGATATAGCTTATCCCCGAACTGACATAGACGATCTTTCGTTTTTGGAGCTTCTGTTCAGAGGTGGTGGGTTGAGTGAGGAAATGTTTTGTCAGCAGCAGAGATCCACGGATGTTGGTGGTTAGGTCATTATCCCACCATTTCTCTATATCACAGGTAACAATCCATTGATCGTCCGCCGTTTTTGAAACTATATTACTGACGAGTATGTCGACACCGCCCCGAAAGTGCTCTTAGATGGTCTTGAAGGCTGCAGTGGTTAATGATTCTCTGCTTATGTCAAGGTCGAGAGCTAGCACTTCAGTAGATGAATCGATGCTTTCGAGTTTTACCACCGTGTCCACGAAGCTAGTTGCTTCGCGAGCCGTGATAATAGTTGCGCGTGCCCCCGCTACAGAAAAGACGGGTGCGAGAGCCTGAGATCAGCCATGCGCAACTCAGAATTGGTTCCCGTGTAACGTGCAGTCAATGCCTAATAGATCCTCAACAGAGATACTTACATCTCTGCCTATGCCCTTGGATGTTCCTGTTATCATGAAAACCTTCCCATTCTGCGAGAGCTCTGGACGAGTCGGATCTATCGTGGGGTATCCATCCCGATATATCCCTTTCGTGAAACTTCCGTAGATGCTCAAGTCATGGGGCGTAGCGCTGTACAAATGAATTGGCTGAGTCATGATGGTTCTTAGGGGTTCCTAGGATGTATTTGTTGAAATGATGATGTTCACTTGCTTCGGTGAACCAGAGAAAGTCAATACCTGAGCGTTGCCACAAGGCGCTCGATGTCAATAGTCTAGTAGGGGGTTGTGCTTTACTTTCTCTGGTCGAGTTGGCAACCTTCCGGGCCTAGCATTGGGTTTTCGGGCTTAAGTGTTGTAGATTAAATAGTCTTTATCGTTAATTATTATGTTCCGCATTATTCTACCAGTGAGAGACGAGTCTTACACGATAGATTAAGTTAGAAGATATTGTTATAAGGCAAAGTAACTATACGGTGCTATGTAGAGCTAGTAGAGTGGTAGTAGCGAAGAGAGAAGGTGTCTCGTCACATGTCAAACCAAAATGGGGCTGGCAAGGGGGAGTGCGGAACAGTATACAGTGCTGGCAGAGTGCCATTCTTTATAATTAGACAGAGTACCGGTATCCCATGCTTTTAAAAGCCGTCTATCTATTTCTAAGTGTTTAATTAATCCTGTCCTGTTCCTCGATGCTGCTGCTGTGCTAGGTGTTCGTCGCCTTAGTCGCTGTCTCTCAGGGTATTGTTAGCGGTGTCTTATATTGTACGAAAGTTTAAGTTATGGACCTATCTAGTTGATTGTGTCCTATCCCTCTGGCTACTTAGAGAGACTCTGCCTATTTATATATACGTTGGCCTATAACCATAAGAGTATTCCTGAAACCTCCTACTCCGTCGCCATCCTGTCATAGAACTGTAGGAACAACGAGGTTGAGGCAGTTTGCGTAGTTGGTGAAGCGTCTAGCGTCTCAGGTGGTTTACCACAGTGGCTATCTTGCAACCCTGTCAACATCTTGTCAGTGCCAACCAGAAACGCGTTCTCAATTCCCGACCTACAGGACAGGCCTCTGTGCGTTGTTGCACGTGCACGCCGAACCCTGAAGTGCTCTGTTACACTAGTATTGGCATTGCCTCTATCTTTAACATCGGGCTAGACAGATCTGTAAGAATGAACCAACGAACTGCATTGTCATTCCGCCAAAAGCTACCCTGGAGTTTGCTCATTTCACAACTTCTGACTAGAGCATATTGACGAGCTTGAACCCTTCGACTGGGGCCGAGGACACCCAGACAAGCTCCACCTGTGTATAATCCGTTTCCCAACGACCCTTATCGACACTCTTCTTAAATTTCCATGTGTACCTGCAACCAGTCTGCACGGTGACATAGCGGCCGTTCTGCTCTGTGACTGCAGCCCAGAATATGTTCGCTCTGCCAATGGCAGTCGCGTTAGAAGTTTCAATATCAAAGTCCATGTTCAAAATGTTATGTTGTGTGCGTTGGAACCTCTCTGTAATAGCGGCCAGTGCCTTGGCCGTGTTTGATCGCCCTTTTATTGTGCCGGAGTTGAGATACATCGGGGCTGTCATTGAAAACAAGCGGTTAGCCATCCGGTGTCCGTATAATGGCGACTCGTGCTGGAGTAACTGATACCACCCTTGGCCTTCGAGATCTGTCGGGATTTTGAAGTCAAAGGTACAGTCTTCTGTGAGGCAATTTGCGATGTCGTCCCATGCGTACATATCGGCGAACCAGCCATAGTTGTTGATATGGTGCGTTAGCGCCAGATGTTCTTGGACTTGTGTCGTTGAAACTGCCATGATGCTGCAGTTGTTGGAAATGGATGCTATTTGGCCAGTGCGAACAGTTGCCATACACTAGAGTGGACCAGATCATATAACTTTGTGCAACCGAGAACTGCATTGCGCGTTGATAGCGACTACGCAAGCTATGGTTAGATGCTGCTAGCGCGGCTACGACTAAGTTGGCTTCGTTGGTAAAGAGTCCGAAAGGCCGCCGCTCGCGGAGTGTAGTTAGGCTTCGTTTACCGGGCAGCGGGACCGATAATTCGCGGGAAGTGCACGGAATAATGAGATATCCGACCATCAAGTCATGATTAGAAAGGATTTGTGCTTCTTCCTATAATCTGACATACTACGGTCGTGGACTTCAAGATTGTACGCTTGGGAATCCTCGGCGCGATTTATTAACCGGCATCAATGCCCGCCGTTGCACTTTGAAGGTAGGCTTTCATCACCCAACCGAAACAGAATTTGAAATCCCTCGAAGATGAGAACCGTAGGGATCGAAAAGGATGTTTGGGTTATTGAGCATATGCTAAAAGGCTGAGAATCTGAATGTTCTTGAAATCAACATTGCGGTAAATTCAGCCATTGTCCGGCTACCAGGTGGTGTTCTCAAAGTTTTCTCCTTGATATCCGAGGAAGACATCCCCAATGTCGTTTCCCAAACTTTGAAGTCGTGTACCGCTGTCGGGACTATCGCGTAATAGAAATGAAGGTGAAAATTCTGCTGACCCCGGTATTTGTGCACCCCCATCGCCTAATGGCGGCTGGAGAGAATCTTCTGTCCATAACAAGGTCTCTATCGCATTATCCGAAACGTGAAGACTAGTAGATTTCAAAGCATTGCAGCTCTCTTCATCGGCAATATGTGCATTGTTTTCAGCCGTGTCATTACCCAGGATTTCGAAGTCCTTAACTTCAGCTTCGGTTCGTGCGAGTGAGGTAGAAACTTCGGGTCTACTAAGTGGATGAAATACAACGGCGGCATTCGCAGACGATGGAATATTCAGAGTAGAAGATCCTCTGTTTGAGATGTGTCTCTTCTTGTTGCATTGACTGGTAGTTTCCGGATCATGCTCACTAGGCCGTCGAGCGGAAACGTCGCTGCTGGACTCTGTGAACGGTGTTAAGCTCGAATCCGAGATTGGTAGATTGTTGAAATCCACACCAGTGTTCTGCATGTAGTGTTTCATCACGGCGGTCATCATTTTGGCCGGTTGATAGACCAGAGACATCTGTTTCAGTTCTCCTAGTAGTACCCGGATCTGCAGCATGGTGGAAGGTCGCTCGCTAGAATTCTCACCAAGTGATGCGTTTGCAACTAGAACAAGACTTGCCGTAGCAGCATGCGTGAGCGAAAACTGGCCAAACTGGCTCCGGCCAAATCCCGTCCGATGAAATGCGAAAATCTGCGCAACCTTCAACGCATGTCTGAACGCAGTTGATCAAGCCAAAGGCACGAAGGAGTATGCTTCATTTGGCTGTTCAACACTAGAGGGGCTATATTGACCCTGAAGCGCTTCTCCATATTGTCCATAAGGTCCGTACAGTAAGGGTTGGGTGGTATGAAATTGTTGACTAATTTGCCCGGGAGTTAGCTCATTCACGCTTGACAATATTGTGCTAAACAGAGAGTACCTCTCGGGCTCGCGGCGGAGAAGGTTTGACTGAGAATGGAAAAAACACTTACTGCATCACGAAGTAGAGTGACGGTGCTCTCCTAGCATTTTCAGGACTCCAACGAAGCAGCGGAGGAAGCCTCGCAGACCAGGAATTTAAATGGTTCCCCAGTGCAGCTACCTCAACTAATAAGTGCTCATGGGATTCCGATCCAGGGAGAATGTCTGAATGGGTTTTCTCTTGAACTTTGCTGGCAATCTCTAGAAGTTCAAGCATGGCGTCGTACACCAAGTTTTCAACTTCGTCCATATCTGCATCTGAGCTGGCTGATGTCTGAATCTTGACTAAGTCGCAGACGCCTCCCAAACGCGAGAACGTGTCTGTAAGTTGACACATATCAAGGTCTGAGTTTTTTATACTCGTAGGCCTGCCTAGGTACAATGACCAACCTCTGTCATAAAGAATACAGGAACGGAGCAGTCTCCGACGTGACTGTATTTCTGCCTGTGATAACTCCAGCATCGAGTGCTCCAGGTTGAGGCCATAGTCAAAAGCGAGGCGGCAGGCAATCCCTGTTCGCTGTTCAGGTTCAATTTTCAAGGGCCGGGAGCTTCACGAGGTGCGAAAGAACGTACCTGCATATAATCCACCGACGTCATCCACCCCAAGTGCACATTGAAGGTCGCTTAATATGAGCATCGATTGGATCGTTATCAGGCCTTGAGGCTCCTCTAATTCTGCATCGAGTACATATTTAATCTCTTGGTGGAAAACGCTGAGATTATCAGAAATCGTGATATATCGCATTGCCGGGTTCTTCCTGTCCGCGAACAAGAACCCCATGGCTAAGCACGAGATGTGTAAGAAGCCAGAGTATGCCCCTGACGCACCCGTTTCAAGGTCTTCGTAAAATGCGTTTCGGTCTAGAATGTGAAACGTCCCATTATAGCGAGTCCAGAAAAGTTCCATCAAATAGTCTTGGATATGTGCTGGCAAAACTGCGAGGATACGGTAGGCGTGCTTTTCTAGCCGCCGACTTTCAGAGAATCTCGATCGCTGTCGAACATGCTCGTTGAAATAACGCTTGAAACAATTGCTCGGACAAAAATATTGAACTCTGCCACTGGCCTTGTCAAGAACAATCTGACATGGGCTGAAGAGGGAATGTCGCAACGCTAATGCTCGTTGGCGCGCTTCCAATGACAAGGGGCTTGAGTTTGTCTCGGTACTGTGTATTCTGGCGCGTTCAGAAAGAGTCTGTGTGAAAACGGCGAGGTTGTTGATCTGGGATTGGGCCTGACTGTCTGTGTGTTTGTGCTGTCATGGTTGAGAAGTGTGCTCTGTCCGACTCTGAACGCTGTCAACCCTGAGTTGGTCTTTGATGGGTCTCCATTTGGTATGTCTAGGTAGGCGTTGTGCCTGCTTACTGATCCATTTGACTGGGATTTGTCTGCATCGCGACGATTTCGAGAAAACTGTAGCGGTCGCCCTTTCAGCAGGGGATTCTGCGGCTCGGGCGGTTCCTGGCCAGACTCTCTCAGCCGCTTCTCAAGCAGTTCAATATCCTGAAGCAAGGAATTAACAAAAGCTCTGGAGCCTCCTCCGACTCGTTTATCGAGACTACGAATGAGCCTTTCCCCGCCATTGTTCATTACCGAAACTTCGGAACGGGTTCAACTTGCTCTAGCATGAATCTCACTGGAAGATCTAAGTCGCCGTGGATGTTTTCTCCAGACACAAAAGGCGTGATTGAGGCACGAAATCCTGTGGGCGCGGTAGTGTGTAACGGCTGGTGCATGTGATTTACTTTGGCTGCTTGCTGGAGATGAGACTGCATGGACGAAGTATGGGTGTGGGGTGGAAATGGGACTCTGCGTAAGCGAAGAAGCAGGCCGCTTTGGAGGGGTCCTGGGTCCGTGGAGGCGGATATAAGTGCCGACTGGCTCTCACCCAGCTCCAGGCAGGGCGTCCTGCTTAGGTTTCAAGCGTGATATTCACGCTCCCAATTGGTTGCGATGGCCAGACCACGTTCCCCGTCTCATATGTATCTGTACTTGTACTAGCGTCGTACAAGAGGCCTAAGCGTATTAGGCAAATTCCAATTCCGCAAGCCAGTCGAAGCTGGGCCCCTGATCTCTGAATTCTGCGCCTCGGTTAGATGATGACTATTTACCGAAAGCCGAATCGCCAGAATCCGACTCCCAATGAGTAATACGATTGATCTGCACTAGAGGTTCATTTCAAAGCTTCTTCTGGCTGACTATTGCGGTCTCGTTGTCCGAATTCAAGGTCCTCTTACCAAGAGCACACATGGCGGGCGCCGACGCTGCTCGGTCAAGTCATTCAACTGTTCAGGAGACGGAAAAGAACGAGGTTTATTCAGTTAAGCCGGGCGACCTTCCCGGTCAATCCAAAGAAATAATCCCCAAGGACGACCAGATAGTCGTCCGCATGAGCAAGTAGGTCCACTTCTCGCGCTGGATAAGTGTTGAAGACAAGGTTGAGAGAGTTGCGGGCTCACAAGAGACAGATTGATTCAAACCACTGCCGGTCTAGGCGCAGTTCTTGCAACCATCAATTTTTCGGCCAATCTTGCGACGTACCTCTCTGTACGATCGTCAACGCAATCCGACCTCATTTATCGATTTCTATGGCGCACACGATCTAAGGGGTCATCCAGTGTGCTCTCTACAACGCTTTCAATCTCGTCGATTCTCACACCTCTCAGCTCGCTTATTTCGGATTGGCGTAAGACTCAACGTCTTACGGGTCTTATTCCCCTGTATGTCAGGCTCAAGTTCCTGACATCAAGGAAAACCCTCAGGGAGATGGACCCCATTCTTCATCGCCTGGTACTTCTTCAATGCAATGCCTACATTGTATTCCAAGCCATCGAGAATATTTGCCACTTACAGGGAAAAGGCATATTACCTTTGTCCATGATCGAAAAGCGAGGTGGGATGGCCAAATGGATAGCGTGGAGTTGCCGCGCCTGGTGTGTGGGCGTGGTGAGCGATTTCTTCCGGCTATGGCGTGAGGCCGAGATCGAAAAGAAGAAGTGCGGTAGGAAGACGGCTCAGGAGCAGGCGGATTTCAATCGAAAGTGGTGGAATGAACTTATGGTCGCTGCGTGCTGGTTGCCTGTTGCAGTCCACAGCAGTTTTTACCCCAAGGGCATTCGGGGCATGAATGCAGGTATAGTTTCCCTTTTGGGTCTTATAGCTAGTTTGAACAGCTTTAGGAATCAATGGCGAGCTACGGGTTAAGAAACAAGGTGGCCGCGTAGAAAATATATTCATATGTTTATTTGATGGACAGATTGTTGACTCGGCAGCAGGAAAGGGTTTCGCTACATTTGGGCCCTAATCTGGGTAAAAGGAGCCCTTTGGCTCGCCTCTGCATACGCGAAGCAGTCCACACACTCTCAGGGAGAGTTAGGCTTAAACGTCCAATCATGCCAGCTATGGTAGGCCACATCTTAAGTAAACGTCTGGACCCTCTGATGATTTAGTGCCGGTGTTTGCAAACTTTCCGCCCTATCATCTCGACGCTTGTTCATTTCATCGTATCTACAGCCTTCATAGTGATTGATTGAGAGGCTTAGTCTGTGGAAATACGATGGACAAAAGGCCTCAGCATCTCAGATGCCCTCTTAATTAAACTCGAGAATAATATTCCTACGGCGGAACTTTACCTGGGATCCTGTTCGGGGAAAAAGGCTATGGGCTGTTATCATCCAGGGTTCGAGGTGAGAAGAAGAGGCCAAACCCGACTGACTCGTTACGGATCTGTGAAGAAGTGTCATTGAACATTTATGCTGCACCTATATTGTAACAGACCACTTCAAGGCTCGGAATGTACACGTAACAACGCATAGAGGCCTGTCCAGCAGATCGGGAATCGAGAACGCGTTTCTGGTTGACACTGACAGGGCAACACCACCACTAATACCCACCCCAGAGAGACAGCAGCTAGGGCAGCGAGCGCCTAGCACGGCGACGGCATTGGGAAGTAGGAAAGGGCCGATGAAACACTCAGGAATAGGTAGACGGCTTTTAAAAGCATGGGATGCCGGTACTCTGTCTAATTATAAAGAATGGCAATCTGCCAGCACTGTAAACTGTTCCGCACTCCCCCTTGCCAGCCCCATTTTGGTTTGACATGTGACGAAACACCTTCTCTCCCCCCCTGCTACTACTCTACCCGCTCTACACAGCGTAGCACAGCTATTTTGCCTTGTTACGCTAGTTAAAGTAACTAACGTTGTGAGCGTCTCAAACCGCGGATAATGATGAGAAAACCGATAGGTCCGGCCGATGAGTCTCCCAACGCGTCCGTGTTGGAATCTATTGGTTGAGAAGGATTGAATCATATATGCAAGTTATGGAACGAATGGAACTGATCGATGAATAATTCAGCGCTCATGCTAGGCAAGCGATGGTCCAGGTAATATTGTGCGTTCGAAAAGAGTAATTTCCGAGGGTACTTAACCATATTAGGCTGAGCACGGTGCTGTAGGAGGCGCTTCAATATTCCCACTACCCACCAAGAGTCGCCTCCTAGTTTGTATTGAACAATACAATTAATCATGAGAAGCGAGTTCCGCATTATACAAGTACGTCGTAGATGCGAAAGAAGACAAGGATATTGTTGTCATTTATGTTATGGAATAGGAACCAGCATCCTATCCTCGAGCGGCAGCATTTCCGGCAAGCTAGGTTGGCCGTCCGGGTTCGAAATAGGCTCAGCCTCAAGCCCCTAAAACAGTACGGCCATCCTTCCTGTGGACTTTTGCGCCCTCATTTTTGCAATCATATGAGGTACCTCCTCCAACTTGTGGAAGCTGACAACGTTCGGTTGGATGTTGTGCTGCGCGGTGAATTCAATGGCTTGTGACATGGGTTGTGGAATACCAGTGCAATCGCCTCTGAGCCGATAAAGGCCGGTGATGATCTCGGTCAAATTCAACTGGAATGGCTTCGCCGGCAAACCCACAGCCATCAGAAGACCGCCTATTCGGAGTGCCTTTTTTGCGTTCTCGTACGCTGCTATCGAAGCGCTGTAGACCGCCGCGGCGTGCGCCCCGCCTCCGGTGGCCATCCTGATTTCGTCCAAGTAGTTCGAATTCGTTGCAGAATTAAACGTCAGATCGGCTCCAACTGAGAGGGTTAAGAACTGTACCGATCACGGTAGGAGATTACTTGCCTGCAATGCCACCACAGAATAGAGGGGAAGCGGTTTCGATCTTAACTGCCTCCGGGAGAACTATTGCATTGCGGTAGTCGACAACGGCGTATTCGGCAAAAAATCCGTCAGAACCCTCGGTCATCCCTTGAATACGTGGCGCGCCTTTTGTGCCATAGAGGTTGTAGACCTTGCATGCTTCACATTCAACTAGAACTCCTTTAGCAAAAGGAAAAGCTCATGAGGGGCGGTTAAGTCACCAAATGACTGTCCCTGCCAAGAGAAGAAACAATGCATACGTACAGCAGCATCCTATAATGTACAAGAATCCAACCCGATCTCCAGGCATGAACCCGGTCACTTTGGAACCTAGTTTCTCCACAATGCCGGCGCCTTCGTGGCCCAGAGTGATGGGCTTCACGCTGCTCGGCGTCGGCGTCCAACCCTCGATGGCCATGATATCTGAGTGACATAGTGAGGCCGACTTGATCTCGACCAATATCTCTGTGTCTTCTGGCTCAGGGATGGGAACCTCATTTACTTGGATTTTCCCCGTGTCCTAGCGGGAAAGTCTTGTTAGCTGTGAGATTGTTGTGTAACTGGATCGACAAGCCTTACACGATGAAACTGTGCAGCGCGCATTGTGGCCAAGCTCCCAATGTTGACTCGTTTGATTCACTTGTTGTCACGACTGTGTAAATCTAAAGTCCAAAGGGGATATGAGAAATGACAGGTGTCTATCAAGGTCTCCCATCTTTGGGTGAACCACATTATAACGCGAATAGAGCTTGCTGCTGAAGCTGGAGCTCTCGATGCTTGCAATGGCCATGTTCTCAATAGCCAGGTGGGCTCTGTTGTCTCCATCAGCAAAAGGCCCGAAATTCGCGTAACCTTTCGTGCGAAATCAGATTCACCTTTGACGTTCGGCGATTGACAGGCTATGCACTCATGACAATGAGCAAACCTTTTCCGCTGCGGCTATTGCTGCATCCGCGGTATCAACAGAAACGAAGTAGGTATGGTATGCTTGGGCGAATGACGATCGCAAGAGGCTTTATTATTATGATACTGCTGGTTGAACTGATGACCTATACGTCTCTCTTTAGGGCGGAACCTAGAGTTCTCGACATGCTAGTCGGACTCGCATAAAGCTTTCCGCTCAACCAATCCGCAGCCGACATGTCCCAACGAGGTTGCTGTTCTAATGGTCAAACAATTTCTGACAATGAAATCCACAAAATGAATATTCCCTCTTCGAGAAAAGGAGAGAACTCTTCCTTCACTCAATGAGCGCTGGTATCCAAAGCTCCGGTGAGACCCCTCGAAGAGCACGCACACCATGACGAGCCTCAAGTATACCTGGCTCTCTGAAGCGGATCCTGTTTGGATCCCTTTGAAGCAAGCATGCGACGAACAATTTGACGCGTTCTACGCTCTACCGATAGAAAAACAGCACGAAACTTGGGTGGATTATCCCCATCTTGTCCCGGAGGGTACGCCAATGGACTTGGAAATATCCTTTGAACGGGTCCCGGTGAGAGATGGAGCGAAAGTGGGGATCAAGATCTACCGGAACACGGAAAAGCTGAAGGCGACGGGCAAAGTCAAAGCACCCCTCGTCCTAGTAGCTCATGGAGGCGGTTGGGTTCTTGGGAACCATGACGTCGAGGAAGGCGTTTGTCGTTGGATCGCAAAGGAGACCTGCGCAGTCGTTGTAGATGTCGATTACAGACTGTGAGTTTGGTTATTCCAGGCGCTTTCAGTTAACGTTAGGGAGACCCATATTGATGAGCTGACAGAGCTCCCGCATATCGATTCCCGTACGCAATCAACGACTTCTACGATGTGTTTAAATGGGTAAGCAGGAAGGACCCCTCTCCAATGTTGGCCAGTCCTGATCGATAGTACCGCTTGATTGCGACAGTGCAAGGACAATGCAACAACTCTCGGAATCGATCCTTCGCTTATTGTGTCTAATGGCAGCTCTGCTGGAGCCAACCTGGCTGCTGTTCTTCCTATAATGGCAAAAGATCATAATGAGGAAGGGATCGTTGGCCAGGTACTGAATGGCCCAGTTGTGTGTCATCCGAAATTCTTTCCCAAGGATAAATACGAATACACAAGTTGGGAACAGAACAAAAACGCCTCTATTCTTGGTAAAGACCATATGCTACGATGCTGGGAAACCTACTATCCTAATACGGGCCCTGATGTCTACGCAAACCCATTCTTGGTTGAAACAATGGAAGGTCTGCCACCTGCTTGTAAGTTGTTCCTATTATTTTTATTTTTCTCAACACTCGATGCTTTCTTTTAGGATATGGCTTTGCTGAGACGGAGAGCACAGTAATACAGATAACTGGTATGGACCCTCTTAGAGACGAGGCATTTGCCTACGCAGACAGATTGAAGGAAGCTGGGTATGTAACATGATACAGCTCTGACGATAATTTCTCCCCAAATTAAGTATCGGGATAGCCTAAACGGAAAGATTTGCTGACTGCTTTATGGTGTTCCAGTTGAGGTTGCAACCTACCCTGGACTACCTCATGGCTTCTATACCTTCCCGCAACTCAAGGCCTCAACGCGATGTTTCAAGAAGGCTGCATTGTGGACTAAAGAACTCCTGGCCCAGAAAGGATGGGAGTCATAGGGGAAAGGGGTCTTCGATGGCAGGATAACTTTCGAGACATGGATTCTTGAAAGCCGCTTTCTCGGCCTTGTTTATTCTCGGCATCCAGAAATGCTGCACTCAAAATTGGTGAAGGGTATCGAGAGATACGGGACTATGACGCTGTCATCTCTGGCCACTCCGTTGACAAAATATCACACCCATCTCGTTTATGTTGCGTAGTAGCAGGCAAGAGCAGGCCAATCCCCGCAAGTCACACGACGGGCGCGGGATTGCGGCTATCGTTTTCCGACATGCGACCCAAGAGACTTTCTCACCTGCCCAATTCCAAGCAGTAGACGACCAAACCCCTCACTCCACATTTTTCGAACTTCAAACTCAAAGAACAAAGACATTTGTAGAGTCAGAGTGCCTTTATGCTTGATCACTGAAGTCCCTCGCGCTTCAAAATATCATGAGCTCCACGAAAGGACAACCTTCGCGGCTGGCACCTGGACGAACCCGCGCATCGGTGGCATGCACAGGTTGTCGACACAAGAGGAAAAAGGTACGAGGGAGGCCCGACTTCGCCCGGACGCATCAGCCTAATGAGAGCAGTGTGTAACCGAGATTGGCGAGAAGTGGTGCAATCACTGTAAAGATAGCGGACTAGAGTGTGTGTTCCGGAACGATGATGAGCGAAGGAGGTACGCAGCCAGTCCCGGCAAAAAGGCATCGTCCAACTCCTGCTTTGCAATGAGACCTCGTATAGCACTGCGCTGAGAAAATACAGGCCTAGATCTCGGGTTTTCGTGAATTCTTTGCTCGAGCACATTGAACTTCTAGAAAGTCGTTTAAAGGAGGTAGACGGCGAATTACCACAGCAACCACAACAACCTGATACCCAGGAGCAAATGCAGCAAACGCAAGAGGGGGAGGGTGTTGCTCGACCCCCCTCAAGATCTTGGGCTGATCACGGTGTCAGTGACCGCTTCGACCTATCGCACCTTGAATCCGAGGATGGTGGCCTCCAGCAGGATCCGGCATTATCTAGTCTAAGTGACATCGAACGGCAGGATCAGACTCCTACGTCAAATGCAACGTCTGGGGACGATGGGCTTTTTCTTCATTCGGACCGTATTCATCCGGGGCGACCTCTTCAAACCCGCGAGAATCTTGTATGTTCATTTCTATTCGACTCGGCACAGCTGAAATACGACGGCACTACTGGGCAACTGCGATATTTTACTCCCCTTGTAGGATATCAACTCTACGCAGACCAGCTTGCGGACTCTCAAAGAAATTCTGCAGGATCATGGCATTTACAGAGGCGACTACACCATATGATCAAGGATCTGAATCCAGAGGTTTACGATCACCTAATGACCTGTTTTTGGACGCACTACAATAATGCCTTGCAGATTGTTGACCAAGAAACGTTCCAACAGGACATAGATGGGGACAAGCTTCATTATTCCAGATTTCTACACGTGTGTTGCCTAGCAATGAGCTTCAGATATGCTGATAGGTCTAGAACTGATATCAAAGCACTCGACAGGGGAAACAGGCACAGTACTTTCCACGAAAGTGCGCGATATATGGTGGAGACCGAGTTGGAAAATCCCCGAGGCTTGACCACAGTGCAAGGGCTTCTCATTTTGAGCGACTTAGAGTGCGCTGTCGGCAGAGATCGATCAGGTTGGATGTATGCTGGTATGTATCACATCGATATTTACTGCTCCTCCTTTGACGTTGCCCCTGTTATTGCCACATCGCCACGCTGCATCATGCTAACTCTAAGAACAGGTGTCGCCTGTCGATTCGCGTTTGACATGGGTTTGACGATAGACCACTCTAAGTCAACCTTGCCTCAGCGAGAGATTCGATCTCGACAGCGTCTCTTGCGAGCCTGCGTTTTCTACGACAGAATTTGGGCCATATTTTCTGGACACCCTACTGTGATCAAGCGATCTGACCTGTCTTTGGTCGAATTCAGTCCTGCATATTCTACATTGATAGGCTCCATCTCCGAATCTTCGACACGGCTAGCCGAAAGCCCAACAGAAACAGAAGCCTGGGAAGCTCTCTTGGGTGTGATGGAATTGGCCATCAAAGTGTCCAATTACGCCAGCGATGCAGTCCCAACAGCAGGATCTGACGACGGCACCACCAAGTTCATGGAAGCTGCGGCTCTGCATGGCGAGCTTGAATCATGGCAGAGGAAGCTCCCGCATCAACTGAGATGGAACTCGGAAAACGTGCAGAATTTACCTGCCATATTCTTTTTCATACCGTAAGGGTCCCATCTTGCTATTCATTCCCGAATTACGCGAGCATCTCTTCAGCATTAACTGATGAAGCGCACAATCAGTCAGCTTTTTCACAGCACCCTCATACAACTGCATCGCTCACTAGTTGAGAATCAGAAACATCAGTTATACGAAAGCGCAGAGCAGATCCCGGCATTTGAGACGACGTCGCCTTTTCAAACACTCTCGAAGAGCATCTGCCTGGAAAATGCAACGACCATCGTCCGAATCATGGATGCATATTGCACGCGATATGGCATGCAATCCGTGAGTGTCTTTAGCCCCCAGCCCGCCAGTGTAGCTTTAACTACTCTCCTTACAAACTTGTCCGATCGGGGACATTCTCCGAAAACAGCAACAATACTCCAGCATGTTCACACACTATCTAAGTTCCTTCAAAAAATGTCCCTAAACTACCAAACAGCACAGAATATGTGCACGGTTCTGGATCACGTCTTGCCCCAGGCCAGGACGGATGTCTCCAATAGGACCGAGTTGGGTTATTGCGAAGGAGGTTTTGAGGGGGTGTGTCACATGATATGATTCTCATATGACGGAAGGAGCACGGTTTGGCACAACCTTATGTTCTTAGTTCTCTTCCCCCTCTTCCTCTTTCATCTTGCAGACTCACTCCTGCAGAGACAGCCCACTAGATAGACACAACACCTTGAGCTATTACAGCCATTCCTCGCCATTGAGGCGATTCATTCCTGTTCCCGTACCACGTTCCCGAGATACGACAGGGTGCCATAGCAGTCGTCTTTGCAGCCTACACCGCAAAGGAGCTTGGAAGGAGTGACGCGCCTGGAACAATGGCCGCCTTTCCAGGGCAACGACATAAATGCAACTAAGGATGCTATTACGGTTGCTCGCTTTGATATCTCCAGACCTACGACAAAATCGGAACCTTCATGGCGACACTGCAAGATGAGCACGAGCTTTCCTGCTGACAACGTTTACCAATTTCGGCCAAGGCAACATTGTACATCACATGGACGCAGAATTTCTCGTTTTAAGCAGCTCATGTCAAGTTCCGTTATTTCAATCGAAAGATGCGGTAGAGTTGTAGACATCGATCGGTAAATCCAATGGATGAGATACAGTGCGGAGAAGCCGAGATTTTGCAAGCTTTGTTGACACCAGCTCAGTACAAGCATTATTTGGTGTCATCATTGGGAACGAAGACGCTTTGCAAAATATGTTCCGCTCCAATAACTGCTATGCTCACATATCCTGCTCAATCAGGCAGTCCCAACTGAATTCTCCTTATCTTGATAGAAGCTTTGTGACCACATTCAGGGACCATTAACTAGGCGCCTGGCTGTCTCACATAGTAGCCTAGATCGCCACCCTGTTCCTCGCGACTTGTCTTGCCATTGCCGAAATATGAAAAGCGATTATCCGTGGTGTACTTGATGTCCCAGTCCTCCCATCGAGGCTCCGCCATCACCTCGAGGAAATGGAGCGCGCTTCCCGGCCAGGGTCCCCAGACCTTACCGTCGACTTGACCGTTCTTGTACCATGATCGACAACCACTTGTCCAGACCAAATCTTTCATCAAGGAATCTTTATACTCATGAAAGTCGTCAACAGCCTCGTGCTTCGGCGAAACAGATTTGATTCCTTGTCGCTGCATCTTGGCAACTAGCTCAAAGATGTAGCACATGGTCCGCTCGAGACATGGGACAAAGGTACCATTTGCGAGTGGACAGTTTGGGCCAGTGACAACTGATAATAGAGACGGTCAGCAAACCCCCACGCACTACAGGGCACTTTGGACACCAATACTCACAGAAAAAGTTCGGAAAGCCTGCCGCTCCGACCGAGAGGTAAGACTTGGGCTCATCATTCCAAACCTCTCGCAAGTCTTGCTGTTCTCCAACTACAGGAAAAGCAGGTCGGAACGACGTATCAAATCCTGTAGCGCAGACGATGGCGTCAATGTCTGTATACTGTGTTCCATCCTCCATCTCGAACCCATCCGGCGTGATCTTTGAAATATGCCCCGTCTCTATCGTCACATTATCGGCAGCAAGGGACTCGAGATAATTGTGTCCTGGAGTAACTCTAATCAGGTGTTGAGCAACAGGGTAGCAACGCGAAGCGACCTATGACCATTTTCTTACCTTCGACATCCCACAGAAAAGTTTGGGACAAGCTTGTCAGCAAGGTATGCTTTCTTTCCAAGTCTCTCTGTCATGTTGTTCCGGAAATGTTGCATCGCGTCCTCCTGCATTTGCGATTCTTTGTAAAATAGGTCAAAGACCTGGTTCATGGTGGTCTCGACTCGTTTCCGATACTCCACAAACCCTTTCGGATCGCTTGCCCATGCAGATTTCTGTTCTTCGGTGAAGAGTTGTTCACGACCCTCTGGAGCAAATTCTTGGCCAAACTCTGGCGTTATCCAGGTAGGAGATCGGTTGAATGAAACCAGATGGCAGACAACTTGGATTGAGAGAGTTAGCCTGACGAGTCGACGATAAACTCTTCACACGTGGATCAAAACGCATACCAGATCGCAGGATTGGCACAATTTGAATAGCTGATGAACCATTTCCAATGACTGCAACCTTCTTCCCTGTGAAATCAAACGAGTCGTCCCATCTGGCGGAATGGATCTTGTGACCCTGGTAAGTGTCAAGCCCGCGAATATCAGGCCATTTCCACCTACTGCGCCATTTTTGTTAAGCCCATCTTCAGCGCGTCACTCCCACAGAAGCTTTACTCACTTGAGAAATCCAGTTGCATTAATAACAACTTCGGCGTGGTCAGTGAACATCCGCGACTGAGAAAGGTCCTCCACTCCGAGGTCCCAAATGCCTTGCTTCTTGTCCCAGACAGCGCCCACAACGCGGTGATTCACCCGCAAGTACTCATACACCCCGTATGCTCTGGCGCGTCCTTGGTAATATTCGCAAATCTCTGGAGCTGTCACATACGCCCGAGACCAGTTCCGATTCCCTTCCCATGAGAATGTATATCCGTATGCCGGAACGTCACAGGCGCATCTAGCACCTACCGTGTCAGCATCGCGTTCGTTGTTTCTATCGCCGTGTCTGGCGAACCTTACCCTGGATATCTATTTTCTAACCAAGTCCCACCCACATCAGCATTCTTTTCGTATATTGTCAGACTCACAGGGAGCCCCTCGAAGCGTTCTCTGAACAGCTTGACACCGGCGATGCCGGCTATGCCTGCCCCAATAATGATGATCCGTAGAGGGCGGGGCTGACCGAGTACGTGCTTTGGGTATTGGAATTCATTGTGTACGACGTGGTTGCCATTCACTCCTGCCGATGCAGCTGGAATTTCAGAGACATAGTCAAGTGTGGTGCCTTGCGAGATTGCCATGTTCGAAGTCGCGATAGAGATGTCAATGCAACACAACTCACCTCCGTGGAAGATATTGGGCCACCATATGATATCAACACTTCTAGGCTGTCCTCCTGGGCCATCACGCCTGGTTAGGCTCTATAGAAGAGGATATTTAGCTATGTCGGAATCTTTCAGCGGTATGCCGACTCCTTAGTCACGCAGCGAAAATGCATCTCCGCAACTCCTGCTACGAAGGACAGGGAGTCTGATAGCCAATCGGCACAAAAGTGTTTAGTCTTTAGTAAATAGAGATGGAAAATTCCCTGGTTGGGTATATATCGCCGATAAAAGACTTATTCTATGTAGCCCCACCCTAGTAGCGATCCTTCAATTCTTTGAGGGTTGTAATAGCATTTCAACGTATTTTACGTGTGGCTTAAGCACACTGAAAGGGCGGAACAATGCGGAATTCAATATTGCCGTTAGGATTTTTTTACATTGGTCTGGATTCTGTGGGATTACCAGGAGATCTATATCCAATTCTTAACTTGGCTTTCGGAGATCTTCGAGGGCCGCCTTCCGGGTCATCCCATGTTGAATGTCGGAAATGGCTATCATTGGACGAGGCTGTACAGCGGCAGGCAACAAGTTTAGAACATGTTGATATCCGAGTTTGGAGTGTTCCAGAAAAAATTGATAGTACGCGACGACTTTTCCGAATTGCCAGCCAGAATAGATTGAGCAGTGCTATATCCGAATGGCGTTTGTGGAGGGTAAAGTTGTGAGTAAAAATCATCCTGGGTCGGCACCAAGAGCAATTCGAAAGTTAACTGCCAGTATTATCCAGGTTGCATTGACTAGCGGCGCCAGTGGCATTGGTTTGGAGATTGCTAAGCTCTTGGCTGAGTGGGGGGGGGCATGGGCCATCCTCTCTATCGCAGCCGTCAACCAGCAGGGCCTGGACGATGCTCTCAAGGTATTCAAAGAAGACAAGCATATCGCGACGGTTGTGGATGTACGCGATGGCACTCAAGTCAAGAACTGGATTGAGAAAACAGTGCAGCAATTCGGCAGACTTGATAGCGGGATAAACCTCGCCGGTGTTGCGCGCATGCAGGCCCCCATCATAGAAGGGACCGACGATGACTGGGATTTCAGGATGGGTGTCAACGGCAAAGGCGTCTTTCACTGTATGAGAGAACAGTTGAAGCATATGAAGAGTGGAGGAAGTATCGTGAGTCTCTCAACGGCCCCTTTCCTCCCACGGAAAAAGAAGATTTGCTTCGATCAATATGTGATTTCAAAAGTGCTGGCGGGTTCTAAACTTCTTTCAGGTCAATGCTGCAAGCATCCAGGGTATGGTAGGTTGCGCGAACACATCGATTTACGCCGCCAGTAAATCAGCGGTCATTTCTCTTACAAAATCCGTGGCAAGAGAGGTGGGCCCACAAAATATCCGAGTTAATTGCATTGCTCCAGGTAGGCGAATTTCATCCTTTTTGCTGTTCTTAGGCTCAGTTTTGATGCGCGTCTATAAATTGCCCTCGCGCATTAACTCCCCCATTCGTTGGTGGTGCTGACAGAGACACCAAATATGCAACAGGCGTTGCCAAGACTCCTTTACTGGGCCCTTTGAGAAAGGTGGCCAAAAAGTGCCGACAACTATGCAGTGTTTTGACAGGCAGGCTCACCCCGTAGAGATCGCAAGAGTCATCGCTTTCCTCGTGAGTGATGAGGCGTCTTATGTTGTAACAAAGCACTTCAGGGTTCGGCGTGCATGTGCAACAACGCACAGAGGCCTGTCCAGCAGATCGGGAATCGAGAACGCGTTTCTGGTTGATACTGACGAGACAACACCACCACCAACACCACCCAAAGGGGGGGGCAGCTAGGGCTGCGAACACCTAGCACAGCGGCCGCATCGAGGAACAGGACAGGACTGATAAAACACTCAAGAATAGATTGACGGCACCAAAACCATTGAATTCATGATACTCCTTCAAAACTGTCAAGAATGGCACTCTGCCAGCACTGTAAACTGTCCTGCTCCCAGCGATCTAATTAGGTTTGACATGTGACCAGACAGACCTCTGCCCTGCCAGTCCACCACCAGCCCAACACAGCCACTTCGCCTTGTTACAATGTTACCGGCAGCAATTACCCTGTAGATGGCGGCACGACAGCTTGAGTTTGAGAGAGGGAGAGGACGGTCATTGCTTTGAAATGGTATAGCTATCTCAAGAAAGCGCCTAGGCAACAGACATGGCCCGAAGCAGCAGCAAACAGAATACCACATCTTCAACTTGGGATATTTATGAGACTTGTTAGACCGTAATACTGTGCTCACTGGCTCTTATGGCGTTCTGGCCTCACATTTTAGAAGATTCTCAAGGAGGACATCACTGCTTAATCCTGCTTTTCAGCACATCTCGATCAATCACCCGTGGAGAGTGAGAAATGTAAGATAATTTTCCTGCAGAGTGGCAGTGAACAGCCCGTGTTGTCAAGGCATAACTTGAATCATTCGACCTGATGTTTTCTGCGCCGTCTACCTTGCTATCGCAGCTCAGGAGCTGGCAGCGCCTCTCGGCAGTGAATGTCGCGCCAAGATGCAGCGTCCACTCGGGAGATTTGGAGAACAGGGCATATCGCTCGGGAATCTAGAGCAGCGTGGGGCGTTCTCACTAATGCGGAGAACGACCTAGACTCTGAATCAGTACGATCCTCCTATACTGAGACCTAACAAGTAGACTAACAGGCGTTAATGGGAATAAGGATGCCACTATTCCGTACCTACGGAGTACCCACAGATCCAGGAGAAGCATTCAGTGGGTCAGTCCAGGCCCAAATGAGTTAGATTGACAAACCCACCAGTCAGCTGCTTTTCCACCAACTCCACATTGATATTTCTGTCTTTTTCCGTCACTGCTTAACAAGGCGTAGTGGGAGGGTAAGTCTTGTTTGCACAATGTGGGGCTGCACCAACGCGACTTGCATGTACGCTCCCCATGGGGATGATCGTGGAGAAGTGCAGATTCTGGACGTTAGAGCGCACAAGGTAACCGTCACGCCTTCTTGGCAATCCTGTGAAGTATCATTGATCGGCGTGTCCAAGTTTGTTTGAAGAAAACTCCGCACAATGTGGGATACCAAGTACACAATTTCAGACCCTTCAGAACGTCAACAAGCTCCCATCCTCGCTTCTCACAAATCTATTTCAAATCACAAACGGGGATTCTCATGAACTTCTTGAGTGTAACTCCCTTGAAAACGGACTGCATAGCACCCTAAACGCATGCTGAGGTACATAGTCCTGTTTCATTGGCAAGCAGATAGTAGGCGGAAACGGCGGACGCGGTGGGCCAGGTAGCTTGAACTATCCTGCGGAATAAGGTGCAAGACTACAGCATTCAGTTCACGGAGGGGCCTGATGATATTGTATATGGCACTGGCAGGGAGACGTGGGCGGAGGGCGACCACCGTCGTAAGGGAGATGCTCATTAAGGCGCGCAAGGCCCTTGTCAATGTTGAGGCTGCATGGATACATTCTGTTTTCGATTCTAATCAATGACAGACCCTCACGTATTCAATCCAGGCCCATCGTTCAGGATGCGCCCTTCCTCAAAGCAAATATATTCATTCCACAGAGGCTGCAGAAGCTTGCCACCCATGGCTCTTACATTCTTCATGGAGGCAAAACGTTGGTTCCACTTAATAAGAGAGAACGGCCGATATCCACAACGTCTCGGAGTAATGTAGTTCCTGTGCCTTCAGCACGCCAAGTTGAGGCCGCCTTTTGCGATTGGCATTCACATTTGAATTCCGCTCTCACTTAGGTCCTGCCCGCCGCTTGACTGGCAGCAAAGTTCCCCCAAATACTGGAATGGCCGGATGGATGGATGGATGAATGCAGTGTCTCATGAGTGGGTTTGGATAGCTGGTCAAATCTACCAAGCAGGGTAAAGGAGGTGGAAACTAGTCCGAACCCCAGAAATTTCACCATGGAGCGGATATACGGTAGCCTAATCAACTCCGCCTGGGGCGCAGTGGTAGAGACGATCCTAGAGAACGGAAACTCCCAAAATGAAGATGATCTAGACATATTCAGTTGGGAACACAATCAGTCGGTCGACCAGCCTGCCAGTTCAGTCTTTCGTGCTTTGCAAAGCTATTTATTGCATAGAGGATCTGCTGCTCTACTTCGTCCTTTCTTCTGCTTTCAGAAGCTGAAACTATCTAGATGGAGTCCATGAGTTCCGAGAAACAATGGGAGGTGATGATTGTAGGCGGCGGGTTTGGAGGGATGTATCTCCTGAACAAGCTCCGCAAATTCGGGTTCGACGTCCATCTCTACAAAGCCGCGAGCACCTTCGGGGGGACCTGGTACTGGAACTGTTACCCCGGGGCCCGTGTCGACTCGATCGTTCCTACCTACCAATTCTCGTCCGACGAGACGTGGGATCAGTGGGAATGGAGCGAGGCGTATCCGCAGCGTGAGGAGCTTGAGGCGTACTTTCAGCACGTCGGGAAGCTCTGGAATCTGCACTCGGACGCGACGTTCAACTTGCGTGTCGTCAGTGCGCACTGGGACATGGCGCAGAAGATATGGACGTGCGAGATATCGGATGACCAAGACAACACGGCGACCATCGTCAAGACGCGGATTCTGCTCTTCTGCGCCGGCCTCGCGGCTGTGCCGTACAAACCACCTTTCAAAGGAGTCGACGACTTCAAGGGAAGTATATACCACACGTCTAGATGGCCACGCGAAGGCGTCGATCTCAAGAGGAAGCGGTGCGCCGTCATCGGCACCGGAGCCACGGGAGTCCAAGTCATCCAGGAAGTCGGGCCAGTGGCATCGCGACTGACCGTGTTCCAGCGGACGCCGAACACAGCGTTGCCGATGGACCAGGCCACGCTGAGCAGAGAAGACAACAACAAGCTGAAAAAGGAGATGCCGGAGACGATAGAGCTCTCCAAGGCTACATGGGCGGGCTTCCTGTACTCCTGGCACGACAAGTGCGCGATGGAAGACAGCCCAGAGGAGCGGGAGAAGTTCTACGAGGAGTTGTGGAAGAGAGGGGGCTTTGGGTTCTGGGTCGGCAACTACAAGGACACGTCGTTCACGCAGGAAGCAGCCGACGCGGCGTACGCGTTCTGGCGGAAGAAGACGGCGCCCCTGATCAAGGACCCCTACAAGCGAGAGAAACTGTGTCCTGAGAAGGCTCCAAACCCGTTCGGCACCAAGCGGATATCCTTGTACAGGACCTATTTCGACGTCTTTAACCTCCCCACCGTGGATCTCATTGACGTCAACGAGAACCCGATCGACGGGTTCACAGAAAGGGGAATCAAGCTGCAGGACGACAAGGAGATCGAGCTGGATGTTATCATTTTCGCCACGGGCTTTGACACCATTACCGGCGGTCTCACGCATGTCGACATCCGCGGCATTGACCCGTCCTTCACGCTCGGGGAGAAGTGGAAGAAGGGCTGCCAGACCTACCTGGGCATGTGCAGCAACGGGTTCCCCAACTTCTTCTGGGTCTACGGGCCCCAGTCGCCCGGCCCCTTCTCCATCGGCCCCAACTGCATAGAGTACCAGGGCGACTGGCTGACGGACTTGTTGCGCGACCTGCGGAGGGATAAGATCACCACAATCGAAGCCACGCTGGAGGCTGAGCAGAAGTGGAGGGAGGGCATCCTCGAGGCTGGTGATAAGGGTCTCTTCAAGTATGCGAAGAGCTGGTGGTTCGGGGCCAATATCCCCGGAAAGCCCAGGGAGTGTTACAACTACATGATGGGCATGCCGCAGTATAGGAAGACGTGCGGCGAAGTCAGGAAGAATGGGTATGAAGGATTCCAACTGAAGTAAAAGATCAGAGTCTAGTATTTAAACCAGAAATTGTATATAGCACGCAGCCTTTTTTTCGCTTGTCATGTACGTAGTACCGAGTAGATTGTGATACTTCTCTTCGACTCTATCACCTCACTTCCAAATCCTTGGCTGCTTGCAATCTCTGCATACCTCTGCAGCTTAAGCATCCCATCCCTTCGATGCCAAAAGCTTCTTGACCCAAGCCGCCGACTGTTTGAAGTATTTCGTCGTGGCTTCCAACTGTGGAAACGTGTAGAACCCATGAGGCAGCCCGGGAAAGACCTCAACGTCAACCGGAATGCTATAGAGGGTGGTGAAGTTGAAAAGTCAGCCCATATATCGTTTCTTCTTGCACCTATTCCGCAAATGAGGCAGCACGGAGGGGGTGGGATAAGAATTGTATTTGCCTTTGTTTGAGGGTACATACCTAGCTTCTTTGAGCCTGTCTGCGAACGCAAATTCTTCGTCTCGTAATGGATCCATCCCGGAAATTTGAATCACTGGAAAAGAATCCCCGTCCG